GGTGCAGTGCGGATGGGAGGCTAAACTAGATGGCTGGGACTCACGAGCAGCAGCTACAGCATCTCCTGCAACTTCCTCCAATTTATTTGCTTGTGAGTCCCAGCCATCTAATTAAGCCCCCCATCTGCGGCGTGAGAGATACTTCCCGTGGTGAAAACTGCGTTACCAATGCGGCACCGATCATATTTAGCCGACTTTCAATGGCGCCGCAACCACAAACAGCATATTTTTGGGCACTGTTTGCAACTTCTGTGCTGCTATTCAGAAATAAAGGCCTCAATTATAGCTTAATAGTCGATTTAGTCATTTTCCCTTTTTTTGTTCCTCATTATTTTTGAGTTCAAGTTTTTGAATGTTTACAACACACGACCTAATGAGACCCTGTCTGGGTGTGTTTTTGGCCGCCATAATATGTGGTTGTTATTCAGAGGATAGCCAAAATGTTTGAGCACCCCCCCCCCCCCCCCCCCCCCACTTCCACAAACACAAAATGTTTTGTGATTGTGTGGGTATGCTTGTATCATATACCAGTACGCCTTATCGCGTGGAGAAAGGCAGTTTATTTTAGTTAATAGACAAAATTACTGGAACGATTTCAGTCTGATTAACCATTGTGAGTTTAAGTTTAAACGTGGTCTAGTGTGGAGCTTATGTTTTCTGTGGAGACAAAAACATGTATTATAAGTCAACATGAGGAAATGTTTTGAATAATTTGAGCACCATTAACCTTTGTTAGTTGAAATACCGAGCGGATGTTGAACTTGGCTCGCAGGTTGACCCAGCTGAAAAGATGCACCAGATAAAAAAAGGCAGCCAGTGTGTTGTTGACCTAATCAGCATCAAGTGCCCAGTAGTCTATACAAATGTTGGTCTAGCAGTATATGCTGAGGTGCTAAAGACACAAAAAGGGTCTTGTATTAATTAACCTTACACCAGTACATGCCCTTTGGGACACTTGAACACTTTTTCTGACTGCTGCTTTTGCTATTTGTGGATTGATGTGAATTTCGGCGGAAGGTCACGGTTAATCGTCCGCTTGAACTTTTGGCTTTTACCTGGACCTGAGTCCAGCCCCTTGTGGAAGGGTTAGCCCTCAAGGGAAGGCAGGGGCAGATCTTGGGCATTCCCCGCCATCCAAGGAGGCTTCCATGAATGCAGAGCCGGCACATGGCGCTCTGGTTCTGGGCTCACATAAGGAATCGTCACGTCCTGCACATGCCTGCTTAACCTCACAACCGTATTAGGCCTCTCGCTCGACGAGGGCTGCGCCCTCTGGAAGTCAGCGGAGAGCAGCCTGCGGGTTCTGAACTTTTGTGACCACACGAATAGGTACATTCTTTTTCTTCACACGTTAGATTTCTTTGACGAGCCGTTAGCCCGACAGAATTTAACATCCTGCGTCAGGCATATGGTTGTCAGTTTGGTCCCAACACTCGGGCGAGTGGGGTCTTTGGGTGTGGACATTTGGACTTTTTCCATTCGATACACTTTGTGATGGTCGGATTTTGAGCTTACTCGTGTGCCGTAGGATCTAGTTTTGTCTGACATTTAGGCTTAGCCATCCAATGGGCTGTTGCTGTTGTGGTGTACCTCAGCGCGGTGACAACGTCACTGAGGGTTAACAGAGGATGTACATGGGTAGAGTCTTGCTGCGAGACGCCACCCACAGGAGATGTTACTCGTCTGTGCTGCGGGTAAATCTCTAGGAAAAGGGTTGAGTCTCAGCAGAACAATGTTCTCTTCACTCCGCAATCTTTTAACCAAGGGTTGTAATTTTAGCTGTACGTTAGGCAAGCACTTTACTCATGTTCCTAATGAGTTTTGATAACCTTTTTCACCCATGCGTTTGGGGCGGGCTGATGAGAGCCACAAGGGCACATCACCTCTGGGGGCAGCCAACTCCGAGATCCCCTGACAGCTCTGTTAATGCTCATTTGAGACATTATCCGTGGCGCACGACGATGACGTGCTGCAGGGGTCTTGCGTGAGGTTCTGTAAAACCAAAACAGTAAATGGCTGGCGCGAGTGACGTACGGAGTATCTCCTTATACACATCATGTTGGACTTAACTTTCCCTCACGCCTTTGACATAAATCACCGCGCCATGTTTGTTTCCTTGTTTTGTTGTTGTTTGGGTGAGCTTGCATCAGATTTGTTCTTGTTCTGATATCAGGATATTTCTTAATGGCTGCCGGTGGGGGTAATGTGCGACTGGCCGAGAACATCTTTCAGCTGTTGGAGTCCTCGGACACAGCTCAAGATATCAGACAAGCCATTTTGGACAATCTGTCGTCAAGTATGTGAATTTGTGTTTCTCTTAATTGTGTATTTAGTGTTCTACTTAGTTTTCTCCTCTTCGTCACTCTTTCTTTTCTTCTCGATCCTCATACTCCATTCTCATTTTACTGTTTCCCTTCTCTTTTCCTCCCATCTCCCTCATCCTGCCTGTCTCTTCTTCTTCTCGTTCTCTTTTCCTCTTCTTCCTTCCACTCTCCCCCCCCCCCTTCCTTTTTTTCCTCCTTCAGATCATCTCCTCTTCTTCCTCCCACTGTCCCATCTTCTTTCTCTTTTCCTTTTCCTCTGCTTTTATAATTTTGTTGCTTACCATAATATGTATACCAGTGATTAAGGAAAGTGATTTTTTAACGTGTTTACAGTATTGATTTTCTTCCACAGCAAAAGAATCATGGTTAATTCACTTTTTGGTGGACTACTACTTTCAAACCCAGTCAACAAACATCATGGAGATTCTGGCAGATCTCCAGGAGTTGCATGCCAAGGTAAGTTTTGTCTTCCTTTTTATTTGTCTAGATTCTTGCCTAGAAAGGATTTATGTTGCTCTGGCTGACTGAAGAAAGATGAATTCTTCCACTGTCCTGTAACAGTGTGTACTGACATTGACTTTCCACGTGACCAAGTACAATATCCACTGTTCTCTCCATGTGGGTTCTGAGACCCCATTTTGGGGTTTAACAGAATAGACTTACTGCCCTCCTGACAAGCAACATGTAAAAGAAACAAACTAGGGTTTTGCTGAAATTAGATATGTGGGGCAGAAAGTTGCAGATATCGCAGCCTAGCTGTAAACTGCAACATAACATGCCAATTGCCCTTTTGAAGGCAAATGCAGAAGTAGAAGAAAATCCACTTTTCATTAACTGTTTACTGACATTTGCTGTCCTTGTTACTTGACACATGATGATGTTAACCCATCCATTGCCCATGGTCTCGTAAATCTCCACATGTTTACTCCCATCTCTTATCTCAGTAGCCAACAACATGCTGATGCTGGTGGTCCGGGGGTTGATGCTGACAGATCTTTCCCATGTGTGAGTGTCATCCTGGCAGTCAACAAACTCCCAACTAAATCTGTATCAGATATTCAGCACTGGGGAAAGATGTTGACCCACCCATTGCCCAGGGTAACAGTCTTAGATTTTGACCCACCCGTTACCAAGGGTCCAGTAACAGTGTGAGATTTTGACCCACCCATTGTCCAGTAACAGTGTTAGATGTTGACCCACCCATTACCCAAGATCCAGTAACTGTGAGATGTTGACCCACCCATTACCCAGGGTCCAGTAACAGTGTGAGATGTTGACCCACCCATTACCCAAGATCCAGTAACAGTGTGAGATGTTGACCCACCCATTACCCAAGATCCAGTAACTGTGAGATGTTGACCCACCCATTACCCAGGGTCCAGTAACAGTGTGAGATGTTGACCCACCCATTACCCAAGATCCAGTAACAGTGTGAGATGTTGACCCACCCATTACCCAAGATCCAGTAACAGTGTGAGATGTTGACCCACCCATTACCCAGGATCCTGTAACAGTGTGAGATGTTGACCCACCCATTACCCAGGGTCCAGTAACAGTGTGAGATGTTGACCCACCCATTACCCAGGGTCCAGTAACAGTGTGAGATGTTGACCCACCCATTACCCAAGATCCAGTAACTGTGAGATGTTGACACACCCATTACCCAAGATCCAGTAACAGTGTGAGATGTTGACCCACCCATTACCCAAGATCCAGTAACAGTGTGAGATGTTGTAACTGTATGACTTGACTCATGATGATGTCCCACCCATTACCCAGGATCCACAAGTAACACTGACTTTCCTTGTGACAGGCTCTGATGGACAAGCTGCAGGACGGGGTCAAGATGCCTGTGACTCGACTCCCAGCCCTTCAGCTGGTTCTCTACCTGGTCTACAAGGAGCTGCCATGGTGCCACAAGCTGGTGGGGATGCCCCTGTTTACCTCTATCCTCAAGTGTCTGGAGGTAAACTTGGTTTTTCTAGGGACCAGCTGCAAAAGTGAACTTGAAGCAGATAAAAAACACGTAGTTAGATGTCTTTGGATATTTTCTTAGGGTATGCTGGAGTGTTGGAAAATGGACAGGTAGGCTGACTGGCTGGTTCTGCATCAGTAGATGGTGATTATATTCATGACAGGCTGCATCAGTAGATGGTGATTATATTCATGACAGGCTGCATCTGTTTGAGAACGTTGAAAGTGTTTGTTGGAGTTGGAGAAACATTTAACTTGGGATGGTTCAAGAATCTACGTTACTGCACTTTAAATCTCCACATGTTTACTCCCATCTCTTATCTCATTAGCTAACAAAATGCTTTGCTGATGGTCCATTGGTTAATGCTGACAGATCTTTCCCATGTGTGAGTGTCATCCTGGCAGTCAACAAACTCCCAACTAAATCTGTATCAGATATGCAGCACTAGGGAAAGGTGCCAGCTGAATCTGTATTAGATATGCAGCACTGGGGAAAGGTGCCAGCTGAATCTGTATCAGATATGCAGCACTGGGGAAGGTTGGGGGGGGGGGGACTGTCAGACTTACTGACGAGATGAACAACTGACATTTTTAGAGGGGGAAGCCAAAAAAAAGGAATAGAGAGAAATAAGACAAATGTGGGGCACTGTTTTGTTCCGCAAACACACGAACCATTATGTTAGTAGTAGGGTTATTCTTATTAAAAATGTTGTTATTCAGTCTGCATTGGTCAATGTTCACATTGTGTTTATTAAGAACTTGAAAGTGATAGCAAGCAGACTTTGTTGTACTCTTGTCTTGTTGAAACCAGGTGGATAAGTCTGGTATGTTTTTCTTTGCTAGACTGAAATTGATGTTCCAATTCTGATGACTGGACTGATGACAATCGTCATTCTGCTTCCGTCAGTTCCTGTCAGCATCGGACCACATCTGCAGCGTATTTTTGACATCTTCAGACGACTGGCAGTTTTTTGTGTTAAGAAACCAGGTTGGGATCTGTTGTTTTCAGCATACTAAAAAAGAAAACAAATTAATTACATGTATAAAATGAATAGATTGTTAGTTTAAGGCTCCCTAATCAGGAATAACTCTTAAGACAGCAACACTTAGGGAAAGCATTAACATATGAACACAGAAGTTGATTTTAAGCCATCAGTTTCACCAGTAAAACGGGCATATAGAAAGAATCACTTCTGTAATATTGACACCATGAAGAGGCTCCTAGATCATCTTTCTCTAATTTAACTCTAGATTTGTAACTAAACTCTCCGCCTAGATGAAGCAGGCATTTCTGTCACTGCCTCAATATCTTGTCCACATAGCCACACCACCAATCTTATCTTAAAAACTGACTTTGTTCACCGTTTCCGCCCTTTACTCTATTAATACATCCAGATATATTGACAAATAAAATTTTAAGATAAAAAAAGAAAAATTCATTGTTAATTTTTTATTGTTTTTACCGCCTGTCTGTTCGCTTATTTCTTTGCTTTCTGGACTCAGTTTTATCATTTTAAATTTGAATTTGCTGCCTTTTCGAATGACCATTTTCCTGCTGTGGGTTTTGGGGCTTAATTTTGGGAGGGTAAAAAAACAGAATTAACCCGTGCCCCCAACAGGCATATTGTAAAAGGGAGGAGGTCTCCGTGGCAAAGTGGTAAAGCTGTTTGCCTCATGCTCTGAAGGACATGGGGTCGTTTCACGTCGGTGCCATTTAGTTTACTAGTGCAGTGTTTACAAGGATCCCTGGGGATCGTTACCGAAGCCACAGAGTTCATGCTTTGTGCGATGTTCTAGTTAGGCGGCTAGCCGCTCTGCGGAGAGGGACCAAGCCATATGGCATAAAACCCGATGCAGTGAAATCGGTCCTTTTGACTTTAACCAAAATTGGATTTGTTGGGTTGAAAGGCACATGTATTGCATTCTAGCTGTAAACCACAACACAACATGCCAACTGTCCTTTTAATGGAGGAACGCAGAAGAAGTATAACCATTTGTCAATTAGGATACTTTTGTTTTCTACTGAATATTTAATTGAATTTTTTTAAATTATTATTTGTTTAAAAAGACTGATCTGAGCTTTCATTTTTGTATATGTTCTTTTTTTTCATCATATACCACGTTCATTTTCAGATGTCTACATGAATATATCTAGAAAAGAACTGCAGAATTTTGAACTTGTTGGTGTTATGACAGAGTTTATCTTCAAAATATGCTTGTGTATTCTCTGCCCAGCACAAAACAGACCTATGTCAAACATTTAGTTATCATTTTTCAGTTCTGCCAGTTTGGCTGAAAGAAGCAGATTCTTCAGCCTAACTGTAAACCACACAAAACATGCCAACCGCCCTGTTAATGATGAATGTGTGTATCAGTGTCTCATATCTTTAATTTATGAAATAACTGGGTTTATTTTTTTCCCGGCCTGTTGTCCTGTTTTCTGTGTTTGATTTTGTATTCAGTCTCCCAGTTAAATTTGCATTCATTTGCTGATTTGCTGACAAAGATGTATGCCTAAAATATGATACAGAATTAGTACTTCTTCTTCTTTGCATTGGCCGGCTGTAAACTCTAGGGCAGAAAAGTTCCGATTGTTTGTCCGCCTTCAGGTTTTAGTATTGTTCTAGAGACTGGGTGTTGTGAGAACATCCTTATTTTCAGATCTGGTATATTTGTATGCAATCTATTAGTTCCTTGCCTCTCACTTGCTGGGGAGGCCATGTGTCTATTCTTGTTTTCCCCATAATCGGGCCCTGGAACCCAAACGGTGAGAATAAATTTGATTCACTAACCCATTCTCTACTGTGAGTTACAATTGTTCAGTTATTTTACTGCATTTGTGTTTGACTTTCTCTGACAGCCAACACACCAGAAGTATTCATCCTCCATTTGCAAGTGGCTCTGTACAGCCTCTTCCAGCGTCTCTATGGCATGTACCCCTGCTCGTTCATCGCATTCATGAGCAAATTCTGCTCCAACAAGGAAAACATCCTGACCTACGAAGAAGTTATGATGGTGGGTTTATGTCTTGTCCTAATAATGTCTGCAGGGGTGCCAGCACTGAGAAAACATTGGTGGGGGGGGGGGGGGCTCCAGAAGTCTGAGCCTTGTTTCACTGTCCAGTAATAATTATTGGCAAATAAATACAGTAATATATCTGAAATAATGAAACATTTAAAAATGTTTGAAAACCATACTGGAGGAAAAGATAAAGAGCAAGAGGTAGACAACAATACAAATGGGAGGATAAGGTCAAGAGAGAGACAAACATCTGAGAAGGTGTACAACCAAGACAAGAGACAGAGCATGTGGAGATTCATTGCAGCCAACCTTCATTGTGGAGAAGGCGCCTGACTGATAATGAAATGTTTAGCATATACTTTAAAAAAGGACTTCTGTACCTGGTTGTGAGAGTCACTCAACCCCATTTCAGATGTGGGGGGAGGGGAGCAGGGAGGGGCTGAGCCAGTGTATAACAAATTATTGAGAGGCTAAAAAACACACACACACACACACACACATAGAGATAGATATGAATATAAGTTTGAACATTTGCAGCAGGTGGAGAGGGGGTGCTCCAGGTACCAGAGCCCCAGGTCCCAGCACCCTTGGTGAGGTTGGGTGAAAAAGAGCAGTTGGTTGCAGGAAGAATATGATGTAGTGGGGACAGTCAGCTAATAGCCCATACAGGTGATGTAGTGGGGACAGTCAGCTAATAGCCCATACAGGTGATGTAGTGGGGACAGTCAGCTAATAGCCCATACAGGTGATGTAGTGGGGACAGTCAGCTAATAGCCCATACAGGTGATGTAGTGGGGACAGTCAGCTAATAGCCCATACAGGTGATGTAGTGGGGACAGTCAGCTAATAGCCCATACAGGTCTTGTTCTAGACACCAATTACATAAGGTCCCTTTCTTCTTCAAAAATGGGAGTGCCTTTAATGCATAGAGTTTATTCTGTTATCCATTTGTCTAGAATATCTTCAACAATGGGAGTGCCTTGAATGCATAGAGTTTATTCTGTTATCCATTTGTTTAGAATATCTTAAGTAGACACAACTGTAAAACCACCTGGTAAATAATTGATTTTTACACATTATTATGGAGTATTGCGTCAACTGCTATTTGAGGGAAGCATGATGGCTCAAATGATTGCCTTTGGTCGGCTGTAAAATAGAAGTGAATACAATACCCTGTGACGTTATTGCAACAATCATTTACTGGGTGGTCTTAAATTGTGCCCACCATAGTAGGGCACACAGTAGGTGAGAATACCTACAGCCTATAACATGTAAGACTATCTTCCACACATACACAGATAGTTGAGAACAGATTCAAGAGTTAGAAAGTCTACAAGTCACTAACACACATAAAGAGTTTGTTGAGAATAGATTTTAAAGTAAGAATATCCACAAATCACTAAAACACACACGTATAGTTTGTTGAGAAAAGTTGTTTGAAGTAAGAATATCCACAAGTCACTAAAACACATATAATTTGTAGAGAAAAGACTGCCTTAAATATTAATAAATTCTATTTGTGTGGTTTCAGCCGATGTTAGAGAGGGTTCGGTTACACCCAAAGTTAATCACAGGACAGAATGAAATAGAGACATCAGCAAGCAGGCAAGTTGTCCTTTTGTACGTGTTGCTTGCTGGCTAGGTTATGTTATATTTCTCTGAAACATGAACCTTCAACAAAAGAGTTCAACACCTCAGATGTTTCCGGTGATAGAATGCAGCTAACTGGACAGAAAAATAACTTAGAGAAGAACATTCTTACAAATGGGCAAATAAACAACCATTTTATAAGTGTGCATAAAAATATGTGAGTCACAATTGGAGTCAAGGAATTCTTGTCACTGAAAATCGGTTAGTTCGCATTAAATATGGCCTTGTATCCTCAACGTCATGGAGGTCTAGAGAGAACAATAATGGAGGGGTATATGCCTGGGAAGAGAGGAAGAGGAAGGCCAAGGAGAAGATGGGTGCAGGATGTGGCAGATGATCTCCAGATGGGTGTATCAGACGCAGGACATCTTGCTCATGATAGGAAGGTTTTCCGGAGGGTTGTTATGGCAGCGAGGTTCCGCGAGGGACATGCTACTGAATGAATGAATGAATCCTCAACACCTCGTGTACGTGTTTTTGTTTTAAACCAGTTGCTATTATCCCAAGCCCAGATGAAACTGCAGGTTACTTCTGAACCAACAAGTGCCTTATTTTAACTGTTGTGTAACTGAACAGGAGTTTCTGGGATTTGCTTCTGTTTGATTCTCATCCTTGTGGTGGCAATCCTGCAGACAGGAAACAGTGACCATCCATGACCTGACCAGCTGCCAACAGTTGTCTTTCCTTGCCTCGTCTGGGAAATGTTGCCAGATTTGCTACAGATTAGAGTAGTCAGTGATCAACACAAGGCAGAGCTGTGGAGTAGTACTTGATGGTGATGTTGGTGGTGGTGGTGGCGATGATGATGTCGATACTGATGGGTTCCAGAGCCCAATTGTAGGGAAAACAAGAATAGACACACTGCCTCCCCAACAAGCATGCCCTAGAAGTCTGCCTGAGAGGCAAGGAACCAACAGTCTGCATGCAGATGAGTCAGATCTGGGAAATGCAACACTGATGTGCATGCAACACTCAGTTTCTGGAAGAGGACTAGAGTTCAGAAGTGGACGAACAACCAGAACCTTCTGCCGGAGTTTACACCCAGTGAATGTGAAGAAGATGGTAGTGATGATGATGTTGATGATGCGAATCAAATAATTTCTGATGTGGTACAGGTGGAAGAACCAGGAAACCCATGACATCATTGTCAACTGCTCAAAATTGTCGCTGGACCTAATTGAAGGATCCTGGGAAGACTCACGCTGTCCTGTGTTCCACACGATCCAATCAGTGGACAAGTACCGGCTGCTGAACCTGGAGTTTCCATACGGAGGGAAGACTAAAGGTTGGTTATGTGGTTGTTATTTTTCCACTGATCATAGAGAGGGAGTGGATGCAAGAGACATCAGTGTAGGAAGAGAAGGGAAGGGAAAGTAAATACAAGATATGTGAGTGTAGGGAGAGATGAGAATGGAAGGGAGATAAAACATAAGTGAGTGTAGAGAGAGAAGAGAAGGTATATTTAAGATATAAGAGAAGGGAATGGAAGGTAGATATAAGAGAAGTGAGTGTAGGGAGAGTAGGGAAGGTGGGTGTAAGAGAAATTAGTATAGAGAGCAGGAAAGGAAGCTGTGTGTAAGAGAAGTGAGTGAAGGGAGAAAATTGAATTGAAGGTAGATGTAAAAGAAGTGAATGTAGGGGGGAAGGGGAAGGTAGATGTAAGAGAAGTCAGTGTAGAAAGAAAAGGGAAGATAGATGAAAGCAAAGTGAGTATAGGAAGAGAAGTGAAGATAGATGTAAGAAAAGTGAGTGTGGGAAGAGAAGGGAAGATAGATGTAAGAGAAGTGAGTGTAGAGAGAAGCGGGAAGGTAGATGTAAAAGAAGTGAGTGTAGGGAGAGAATGGAAGGTAGATGTAAGAGAGGTGTGTGTAGGAAGAGAAGGAAAGGGAAGGTTGATGTAAGATAAATGAGTGTAGGAAGACAAAGAAAGACAAGTTTAGTACCGGAAGAAATGGCAAGAAGTGCATGTAGGGGAAGAAGGAAAAGGTGTATGTGTCATGGTGTAATGATGACAGTATGTGAACAGTGACTCTGCTCTGTTAGTGTCTTCAGATACCCAAGCCACTAATAAGATGGTCGATGATGCAGCTTCAATCAACTCCCTGTTTGTTCCGAGCCTGGATGCCAGTGCTCTCGGCGAGAGTCCCTCTGTGCTCATTGGGCTATCTACTCCACCACTGTCGCAGCGGACCACCCCGGCAGCTAGCTTTCTGGATCAGGGTTCTAACTCTGGTGAGCTGGCTTTTGCCAAATAGTTGTATTTTTTTGGGCTTTGAACTTTTTATTTTTGTCATTGCAACTGAAATGTCTGTTCTTGTTCTTCTTAATGTTAACCAGCTGTTGTCTACATCTGGACTTTGGTTTTGTTACAGGAAATCATTTTTGTGTGAATGTCCATTTTATTTATCTAGTTGGCACCTGGCCTCTCAGGCAGATTATTCTGTTTGATCTACTGTCATTTTCATCACTGCTACTTTTACTACCACCACCACAGTTACTGCTATATTAGTACTGCTGTTCCTACCACCATTGTTACTGCAGTTTATGCTACTATTACCACTGCTACAAATATCACTACTGCTACCACAGTTACTTTTGTTACTGCCACAGGTGCCTTTATGAATACTACTGTTACTTTGCTGCCACTTCTACTGCTACATGAATTACTGCTCCACTCCTGCCACAGTTACTACTTCTGCTACCACAACCATTGTCTCTTTCACCCTGTTTGCTGGCATTGAACTATTTAAAATAAAACTCTGTGGCATATGAACTATTCATTGAAGTCTGACCATAGGAAGGTAAGCTAATGATTGAAGTCTGACCATAGGAAGGTGAGCTAATGATTGAAGTCTGACCATAGGAAGGTAAGCTAATGATTGAAGTCTGACCATAGGAAGGTAAGCTAATGATTGAAGTCTGACCATAGGAAGGTAAGCTAATGATTGAAGTCTGACCATAGGAAGGTGAGCTAATGATTGAAGTCTGACCATAGGAAGGTGAGCTAATGATTGAAGTCTGACCATAGGAAGGTGAGCTAATGATTGAAGTCTGACCATAGGAAGGTAAGCTAATGATTGAAGTCTGACCATAGGAAGGTGAGCTAATGATTGAAGTCTGACCATAGGAAGGTGAGCTAATGATTGAAGTCTGACCATAGGAAGGTGAGCTAATGATTGAAGTCTGACCATAGGAAGGTGAGCTAATGATTGAAGTCTGACCATAGGAAGGTGAGCTAATGATTGAAGTCTGACCATAGGAAGGTGAGCTAATGATTGAAGTCTGACTATAGGAAGGTGAGCTAATGATTGAAGTCTGACCATAGGAAGGTGAGCTAATGATTGAAGTCTGACCATAGGAAGGTGAGCTAATGATTGAAGTCTGACCATGGGAAGGTGAGCTAATGATTGAAGTCTGACCATAGGAAGGTGAGCTAATGATTGAAGTCTGACCATAGGAAGGTGAGCTAATGATTGAAGTCTGACCATAGGAAGGTGAGCTAATGATTGAAGTCTGGACAGAGAAAGGTGAGCTAATGATTGAAGTCTGACCATAGGAAGGTGAGCTAATGATTGAAGTCCGACCATAGGAAGGTGAGCTAATGATTGAAGTCTGGACAGAGAAAGGTGAGCTAATGATTGAAGTCTGACAATAGGAAAGTAAGCTAATGATTGAAGTCTGACCATAGGAAGGTGAGCTAATGATTGAAGTCTGGAGCGAGGAAGGTGAGCTAATGATTGAAGTCTGACCATAGAGAGGTGAACTAATGATTGAAGTCTGACCATAGGAAGGTGAGCTAATGATTGAAGTCTGACCATAGGAAGGTAAGCTAATGATTGAAGTCTGACTATAGGAAGGTAAGCTAATGATTGAAGTCTGACCATAGGAAGGTGAACTAATGATTGAAGTCTGGAGCGAGGAAGGTGAGCTAATGATTGAAGTCTGACCATAGGAAGGTGAGCTTATGATTGAAGTCTGACCATAGGAAGGTGAGCTAATGATTGAAGTCTGACCATAGGAAGGTGAGCTAATGATTGAAGTCTGGACAGAGAAAGGTGAGCTAATGATTGAAGTCTGGACAGAGAAAGGTGAGCTAATGATTGAAGTCTGACCATAGGAAGGTAAGCTAATGATTGAAGTCTGACCATAGGAAGGTAAGCTAATGATTGAAGTCTGACCATAGGAAGGTGAACTAATGATTGAAGTCTGGAGCGAGGAAGGTGAGCTAATGATTGAAGTCTGACCATAGGAAGGTGAGCTTATGATTGAAGTCTGACCATAGGAAGGTGAGCTAATGATTGAAGTCTGACCATAGGAAGGTGAGCTAATGATTGAAGTCTGACCATAGGAAGGTGAGCTAATGATTGAAGTCTGACCATAGGAAGGTGAGCTAATGATTGAAGTCTGGACAGAGAAAGGTGAGCTAATGATTGAAGTCTGGACAGAGAAAGGTCAGCTAATGATTGAAGTCTGACCATAGGAAGGTGAGCTTATGATTGAAGTCTGGAGCGAGGAAGGTGAGCTAATGATTGAAGTCTGGAGCGAGGAAGGTGAGCTAATGATTGAAGTCTAGACAGAGAAAGGTCAGCTAATGATTGAAGTCTGACCATAGGAAGGTGAGCTTATGATTATAGTCTGACCATAGGAAGGTGAACTAATGATTGAAGTCTGACCATAGGAAGGTGAGCTAATGATTGAAGTCTGACCATAGGAAGGTGAGCTAATGATTGAAGTCTGACCATAGGAAGGTGAGCTAATGATTGAAGTCTGACCATAGGAAGGTGAGCTAATGATTGAAGTCTGACCATAGGAAGGTGAGCTTATGATTGAAGTCTGACCATAGGAAGGTGAGCTTATGATTGAAGTCTGACCATAGGAAGGTGAGCTAATGATTGAAGTCTGCTCAGAGTAAGGTGAATTGTGTGCTTCCATCTTTCTACTTCTTTCTGCGAGTGTTGATCAGTGCATGTCTGTCTGTTTATTACATATTCTGACCAAAAGAAGATGAACAATCATCAAAGGTTTGGCGAGAAGAAACGGAGTGAATGAACTTGTAGCCAGAAGAAACGGAGTGAATGAACTTGTGGCCAGTAGAAAGTTAACTGATGAATGAAGTATGGAGGGGAGATTTGCAAAGCTGAAGAAAATTTTTCTGTGCAACTGACTCTTGTTTTCATTCTTCAGGTTTACTGTTTGACTCTGAGGCCACTCCGAGGCAGCACACGCCTTCCCAGACGGACGAGGGTGAAAGGGTAATGGTTTCATTCACTTTTTCACAGAGCAAAAATGCCATGGGTAGAGTACCCCTCTCTGTTTAGATCTTGCCTTATGTATTCCTGGCCACATTTTGGACTTACTGCCTCCTAAAAAGCAACTACGTTTTGGTTTGCTGAAGATGGATGTGTTGGGCCAAAAGGCGCACATTTTACATTCTAGAAATATACTACAATACAGTGTTTACTTCCCCAGTAAAACAACTTCCTCATTCAAACAACTTCCTTGGTAAAACAACTTCCTCATTCAAACAACTTCCCTGGTAAAACAACTTCCTCATTCAAACAACTTCCTTGGTAAAACAACTTCCTCATTCAAACAACTTCCTTGGTAAAACAACTTCCTCATTAAAATAACTTCCCTGGTAAAACAACTTCCTCATTCAAACAACTTCCCTGGTAAAACAACTTCCTCATTCAAATAACTTCCCTGGTAAAACAACTTCATCATTAAAATAACTTCCCTGGTAAAACAACTGCCTGGTTAAAATAACTTCCCTGGTAAAACAACTTCCTCATTCAAACAACTTCCCTGGTAAAACAACTTCCTCATTCAAACAACTTCCCTGGTAAAATAACTTCCAGGGTAAAACAACTGGCTCATTAAAAAATTTCCCTGGTAAAACAACTGCCTGGTTAAAATAACTTTCCTAGAAAAACAACTCCCTCATTCAAATAACGTCCTAGTTAAAACTTCTTCGTTAAACTTCCAGGGTAAAACAATTTCCTTGGTAAAACAACTTTCCATGTTAAACAACTTGTTACCAGTTTCTGTGAGCAATTGATCAATCTTTCAGTGTTTGCCTGCTCATAGTTTTGTCTTCACTTGATTGGTTTGATTTTCAGCCAGTTTTCTTTAGAAATATGTTGTCAGTCTCTGTCAGACCCTACTTAGATGCTTCTTATGACATGTTTGGATATTGCACTTCTAATGTTATTGACCTACCCCTTTCCCAATAAGTAAATCAAGAGGCTTGAGAGTTTACTTCAGAGTTGGAGTGCACCTGCCTTAGAATCGAAGAAACAACAGTCTGAGTACTAATATCCAGATCTGTAAAGTGAATGTACATGCACAATTCAAGTTCTAGAGCAAAACCAAAGGTCCAGAAGTGAACTTTCTGTCTGAGTTTACAGCTGATAAGTGCTAAAAAGAGGAGGAAAAAGACGTGTTTACAACCAGCGTCTTAGAGAATAATCTGCATTGAGACCTTGGGACAATTGCTATGGGAGACTGAGCATATGTGGGTTTACCCAGAGTTGCGATGTTGTTCTCTGCATCAACAGTTATTTCATTTCCTGCACATGTTGTTTCAGACACCTCTAAGCCGGAGCAGCAGCAGAGGCACCTTTCATAAATCATTAGAAACCAAACGATCAAGCCTGATTGAGTCGAAGACTATCATCCCTGTTCCACAGACCACGCCAGTCACACCAGGCTCCCACAACTTGATCTCTCCCTCACCGTACTCACCCATGGGCATGATGGAGTCTTCTCCTCTCAGGTTGGTTCTTGTACATTGCTTTTGTTTAATTAATCGTTATCAGCTTGCTGCTTCGTCCTCTTATTTGTTCACCGTTAAAATGGCGGTCCGCACATTATGTTATCATTTACAGCTATGCTGAGATATCAACACCTTTGGGCCCAACACATACGATTTCAGCAGCACCTTTCGGCCCAACACATCCAATTTGAGCAACACCTTTCGGCCCAACACATCCAATTTGAGCAACACCTTTCGGCCCAACACATCCAATTTCAGCAACACCTTTCGGCCCAACACATCCAATTTCAGCAACACCTTTTGGCCCAACACATCCAATTTCAGCAACATCTTTCGGCCCAACACATCTAATTTCAGCAACACCTTTCAGCCTAACACATCCAATTTGAGCAACACCTTTCGGGCCAGCACATCCAATTTGAGTAACACCTTTCGGGCCAGCACATCTAATTTCAGCAACACCTTTTAGCCTAACACATCCGATTTGAGCAACAGTTTTTATAGCATACTTGTTAGGGGTCAGCGGATCTGTTCCTTTTCTGAAGCAGTGGGGTCCCAGATCGCAGACGGGGACATTGATTCCCAACCAGGGTTAGCCTAGTCCTTCTTTTGTTCCATCTTCACATCCTGGTTGCTTTTAGTTGATACATTCTGTTGTTGTTGAAATTTATGTTTTTGTATGTATAAATAGTAGAAAACATTGGATGTAAGTTTCAGAGCTCTGCTGTTGTGGAAGTTCACTGAGAAGTCAAAGGAAACATTTGATGAATTATTGATTGCCTTCTCTACTACTTGGTTTAGTTTGTATACTCCAGAAATCTGGCCCCTTCCTGGTCCTGTGTTGTGTGCTAAACTCACCTTGCTGTTCAGTTGTACCAAAGGTCAGTGGCGTGATCGCCTACGCCAGTGGTTAATGCACTAGATGATGATGATGGCAGAGACGAGTGCAAAAAGTCCACACTACTTAACCTGTGAGACAGACTTTCTTGAGATTAACGGCTATAGCCGATTCCACAGGTATTGCAATAACCAAGCGTGGTGAGCCGCTGAGCTGAAGGTTGTCCTGTGTCCAGTCAGTGCCTCTCAGTCTGTGAGACCGAGCAGAGGTTTATGACTTTTAGTAGTAATCATGTGTATTATTCTATTCTGGTTAAAGCTTAGATCGTTAATAAGAATTTGGTGTATAATTCCTATTGTAAGGAGGATGTGATACCAACAACACTAGACTATCATACGATAACAACACCTAAAAATAAGACCAGCCCCGTCACTGTTGACGGCTGGGTCAGACAGATAAAGCCACTTAAATACTTAACAGTAATGCCACCTTATGTATCCATGTTGGAGCCGCTTTATGTGCCCAACATTGAAGCCACCTTATGTACCCAACATTGAAGCCTGCTTATGTACCCAACATTAAAGCCACCTTATGTTAGAGCCACCCTACATGCCTAATAGAACACATCAGAGCCGCCTATGATTGATGCTAGATTACAGCCATCTTTGATTGTTTCCCTCACAGATCTAAGTCAAGTGCTTTTGTAGCCCCAACCCTTCTGTGGAGCCCGGCAGCTCGAAGCCTCCAGTTTGAGAGATCACTAGAAGAGGAAGATGGTGAAACCATTGAGGTCAGTGAGACGTTACCTGCACCATCACCTGGTGTTGTTCAGGTGTGCTTTCTTACGATGCTTGACCCTTTCATATTGTTGGGGAAACGAGAATTGTGCAAGTGTTTGTATGTAGGAAAATTGTTAAGTGGGGTTCAAGTTTAAGAGAATCAGCTTCATTTATCCCAAATGGCTTGGTTTTTCTCCACAAAACATGAACTCTATACCACCAGGGATAACCCCCAGAAATCTCTGTTAAAAACTGCACTTGGGAACTGAACGACACATTTATGACATGAACCCATGCCTTTTAGAGCATGAGGCTGATGCCTTGACCTTTTTGCCACGCAGACCCTGTTAAACAGGGTTAAGAATTAGTCACCCCTACGTTTTAACACATGTCTTCCACAGTTTTATTACATATTCATATTAATGTTATGAATGTTAAATCTGCGCCTTAAACATAATTTTATTGAGTTACATTAACAGTAGATTAATATATGTGGATGGGTTGTCACGTGGGTGCAGATAAACAGTCAGATAGATCCACAGGCAGCAGATAGATCCACAGGCAGCAGATAGATCCACAGGCAGCAGATAGATCCACAGGCAGCAGATAGATCCACAGGCAGCAGATAGATCCACAGGCAGCAGATAGATCCACAGGCAGCAGATAGATCCACAGGCAAGTAGGTCAATAGACAGGAATTTTGGCAGGTGATAGAGAGCAAACATGTAGAAAAGGATGTACGTAGATAAGTGAGTATGTGAACATGTTGGCAAATAGATTGGTAGACTGACCAGATTGTCTTTCCAGATAATTCAGAATTGGACACACAGGCTTGCCTGACATTCCACCCTTCAGTGATAGACCGACAGACAGACTGACAGATAGATAGACAGACAAATGTTATGTTATCATAATCGACATCTTTGCACATTGAGCATACCCATGAATGCTCAGTCCCCCAGTGCAGCAGTCACTCCAAGGTACCGCTACTGATTTTTGTTCACTGAGAAGTTGGCAGTAGTATTTCTTGACTTTACCTCGAAGATGGCATATACATACTTCACCATGCTTAACTTCTCGGTCACGCAGTCGTGGTTGCGTCAGAGATTCGCCATTATCCTCTAACCTTGTCAGTACAGCGTTGAAGATATCAGCTCTATCCATACTTCTTTCTGTTTGCATTGGTTTCAGTTCTTGCCAGCTGGTCAGCTCTTTCATTACCATTTACTCCTCCATACTCGGTGTGTAGATCCAGATAATGGAGGTTAACTGCAACTTTTGAACGCTTTCTACTCATTCGGAGTGTAGACTACCTGTGGTGATTTTCTGAAGCATGTTCAGAGTCTGAAACGATTGCCGTCTGTGTGGCCGCTTTTTCTGTTACCTACGCGATGGTTTATCATTCAAGCGGATAGATAGAGGGCTATGTAAATCTTTTCCTTGGATCTGTCTGTCTACATGAGGCATGATCTGTAGGCAGGCAAACAGATAGGCATGAAGGCGGAAAAGTAGTGGTTGGTCTTTGTATCAGTCGAGAGAGAACTAGAGTTGGCAGGTTGTCTTATAGTCTTGTTTCCACTGCTTTATTGTTGTCATTCAGCGTGAGATGGATGGCAGTGTCACAGTCAGGCCATCTGAAGGTACAGTTCTGGGATCGCAATCTTTGGCAGCTGCAGTTGTGCCTGTGGAGTCTTTACCTGGCATTATTGGTGACATGAACACACCTGATACAGGTAGAGTTTGTTGTTCTTGAGTTGTCGGCACGTGTTTGTGTATTTGTCATTATTGTTAACATTCAAGTATATGACAAAGGGAAGTCACTGGTACAGACAAATTCTCTAACACTGCAAGGAGAAGACATGACTTCATGGGGTCAGAGACGTACACAAGAATTTTCTTTGATGTAGACTGGATCAGTTAAGTACACTTGGCACTGTATGTATTTGTGTATACTTCCTCCTATTGATATGAATACCATATATGTTACAATTGTAAGTTTAGCCATATCTCTGGCGACGGCTTTCTTCAGATGTTCCAAAATGTTGTTATGCTCTAATCAAACATGCAATCAGAATTGCCCTAGTAAGGACTGTTGCAGTCTTTACCAGCCCTGACATACCACCATTCTTCTCCTAAAGGCTGGGCATGACTGACAGAACAAACTGATGCACAGAGGCTTTGTCTGTGACTCTGTTATGAATAAATATGTTCCCTGTCCGGGGGTCCTCTTGTGGGGAGGAACAAATAATAGACCCACTGCTTTCCCAATAAGCATGTCGCAAAAGTCAACTAATTAGGGGTGTCTCCTTCAAAGTCGGAGTTTATCTGCCTGAGAGGCAAGGAATCAGCAGTCTGTATACAAATAAACCAGATCCGTAAAACAGATGTACAAGCAAAACTCAGGTCTGGAACACGACTAAAGTTCTGAGGTGGGCGAAAACCAGAACTTTTTGTCAGCGTTTACAGCCGGTGAGCTCAAAGAAGTAGAAAAAGATATGTCCTTAGGCATTGTCTCTGCTTTAGATAAGTAGTCATAGATAGCCTTTATGTGTCTGCTTTACTACTGCGCATGTGTGGAGTGAGTAAACAAATTGCTGCATGTATTGTATGGCAACGTCCCTGCCACGGCCAGCTCAGAACGATATAAGAAAGATATATTCATCCACCACCCCCCCCCCCCCCCCCCCCCCCCACACTAAATCTACATTAAAGTCAAGCTGTATGATGTAACTAAAGAACATCTCCAAAACAAATGGTCAGGTTTGTCACAGTTACTCACTTTACCATCATTCCAGACAGTAGTGCTCACATGAATAGACACATGCACGGTCTAACAAAGACACTTGTACACAGACTGACAGACAGACACTGACATGTACACAGACTTACAGACATTGACATGTACACAGACAGACATTGACATGTACACAGGCAGACATTGACATTTACACCCACACTCGGTAACAGAAAAAACGGCATAAATCATATAAATCATTGCTTTTGCCAGAAAAACTAGACCAAGAAGTGGAGGCAATCAACGAGAGTGTGGATCACTTCCATGAAAATCCCAGCCCTTCGTCATCTGTGTCCACTCTTGCATCACAGACAGATGTGACAGTGGAATCTGTTCGACAGGTGAGACACCACATGGTCATTGTTTGGCATGAAAAGATTGCCTTGTAGAGTAATCAGCTATGCAAGCTTTGACCCGACACCTCCATGAGACAAATACATGTTTAACAACTTGTTATTTTCATTGTTCACAGAATGTGTAAACAACACATTCTTCTTCAGCATTCTGAGCCCTTGAGGTTCATTGCTGCAGATATCACCAGCCTCTGTTCATCACTGAGATTAGCTCTGTCTTTCCATTTGATGACTCCAGATGTCTGTAGGTCTGCCTGTATATGATCTCTCCATCGTCTTCTTGGTCTGCCTCATGGTCTGTGACCATTCAGCTCTCTCAGGTATACACAACACATTACAAATGAGAATGAACAGGTTTTACGTTTACTCCTCAGCACATTGTTTCTATGCCTTCTTCTCTCTTCATTCCATCTTCTCCTTTCCTTACTTAATCTATTGCTTGCTAAAGATGGTTTTAAGCACAGAGCATGAACTCCGTAGCTTTATTGAGTACTGTGTGGCACAGAGCATGAACTCCGTAGCTCCATTGACTACTGTGTGGCACAGAGCATGAACTCCGTAGCCCCATTGACTACTGTGTGGCACAGAGCATGAACTCCGTAGCTCCATTGACTACTGTGTGGCACAGAGCATGAACTCTGTAGCTCCATTGACTACTGTGTGGCACAGAGCACAAACTCCGTAGCTCCATTGACTACTGTGTGGCACAGAGCATGAACTCCGTAGCTCCATTGACTACTGTGTGGCACAGAGCATGAACTCCGTAGCTCCATTGACTACTGTGTGGCACAGAGCACAAACTCCGTAGCTCCATTGACTACTGTGTGGCACAGAGCACAAACTCCGTAGCCCCATTGACTACTGTGTGGCACAGAGCACAAACTCCGTAGCTCCATTGACTACTGTGTGACACAGAAACCAGGACAGAGAAAAGAGACTAATTGAATGAGTTTCTGGAGATGTGGTTGTACAAAAGAAAATGTCATATTCTATAGAAACAATGACAATCAAATACAAATGTCTTTTATTGAGAGGGAAATAATGAAGCTATCTCTTGTATAGTGGAGGGCAGATTTGGTTGCAGGTACACAAGCAGTAGATGATGATACCATGGGGAGGGTGACATCAAGACGTGAAGGAAGAACAGTCTGAAGGAGCAAGAGGCTGAGCGGCTAACCTTCATTGTGGTGAGGATATGTAACTAGTTGATGACTCAGCACAGCATTTATGGACACATTGGGCACAGGCTGGTGATTGTTCTTCCCTGGGGTGTAGGTTTTCTGCTGTCCGAGTGTCCAGAAGAACTGACCAGCTTGTTTTGTTTGTATCTGCAGTTCATGAAGAAAGTCAACAGGATTCGCTTCAACAGCTTGACCTCAAACTCATCATCAGACTTTGATGCTGTCTCCGTCACCCAGGGGCCGCAGAGTCAGCTGGTAGGGCGTCCACGTTCCTGTCCTCCTCTGAAGAGACACAAACTGCCAGGGCACACAGTCCCCGAGAACAGCTTGACCCCCAGAATGAAATCTAAACAGCAGACGTTTGCCAGGGAGCGGCTGTCATCAGGTAGAGGGCTGGGCAGACAGATCAGCATGGTGGACACAAAAGTTGTGTCTGACTACCAACAAGGGGAGGACAGTTCTGATGACATTGCCAGTTATAGCACTGGTGAGTGTTGTGTGAGGAGTTTATGGTCAAGTAGAAAAGTATGCTGGCCTCTCTGCGAGACCTAGGTTTAAATCCTTGGTAATGTGATCATTCTTTCTAGGAGGCAAAAATAACATCCTAACCTAAGCAGTCCTTGTTGACTGCACTAGCCATGAGGCCCTGAGTGATCAGTCTCAAGACTCTACTGTCCTAGGCCATCTAAGTGGTGCAAGAAGACAGCATGGACACAAGTGTTTTATGAATGTTATGGTGAATGTTATGTTTTATCTTTTGTTACTGCTCTTACATATTAGTGTGCATTTGACAATGTTTGTGTTAATTTTTCTGCAGTTTGTTAATGATGCCACATTATTTAATCATTATGACACAGTCTACATTCACTGCTTCAGAGAGAAATTCATTATCCAACTTCTTGTATTACTCTGTCATCATCATCGTAAACCTCTTCTGCTGTTTAAGAAAAAAAAAGGTTTGTTGCGTATCCTTTACAGGACGTTGCAGAACCATCCTCAAAAATTATTGGCTGTTGTGGTTTTTCTAGGCAAATTTTGCCTTCAGTAGTTTACTATTGCTTTTTTAACGGCGGGCTCTCGTTGCCATAGTCGAAACCAAAGCAAGGCTAACAAAAATGTTTCCTGCAGCTGGGATCAAAACCAGCAGTATGAATTGCGTTTGCGTGGCGTGGTGATTTCTGTCACAGGCGTGAGGGAAGTTAAGTCCGATGTGCTGTGTACCTCACTCGGGTGCCAGCCCTTCACTGTTCTGGTTTTACGTTTGGGCCACGGATAATGTCTCAAATGAGCATTACAGAGCTGTAAGGGGATCACGGAGTTTGGCAGCGCCCAGAGGTGTAGTGTCCTTGTGGCTCTCATCAACCTGCCCTCAAATGCATGGGTGAAAAGACTATCAAAACTCATTTGGAACATGAGTAAAGTCTGCTCGCTTAATGTACCACTAAATGACAACTCTGGGTTAAAAGTCTATGGAATGAATGGAAAACTGTGCTGCTGAGACTCAACCCTTGACCAAGAGATTTACCCGCAACTTAGATGAGTAACATCTCCTGTGGGTGGTTTCTCGCAGTCAGATCCTACCTATGTACATTCTCTGTCAACCCTCAGTGTTATCATCACTGTGCTGAGGTACATCACGACAGCAACTGTTCATCTGCTGGCTTGGCCCTAATGTCCGACAAAGATAGATCCTACGGCACATGAGCAAGCTCAAAATCCGACCATCATTAATCGTACTGATTGGAAAAGTCTAAATGTCCGCATCCAGTGGTCCCACTCACCCGATTGTTGGGACCAAACAGATGAAGACATGCCTGACTCATGATTGTTGGGACCAAACAGATGAAGACATGCCTGACGTATGATTGTTGGGACCAAACAGATGAAGACATGCCTGATGTATGATTGTTGGGACCAAACAGATGAAGACATGCCTGACGTATGATTGTTGGGACCAAACAGATGAAGACATGCCTGACTCATGATTGTTGGGACCAAACAGATGAAGACATGCCTGATGTATGATTGTTGGGACCAAACAGATGAGGACATGCCTGACTCATGATTGTTGGGACCAAACAGATGAAGACATGCCTGACTCATGATTGTTGGGACCAAACAGATGAAGACATGCCTGACTCATGATTGTTGGGACCAAACAGATGAAGACATGCCTGATGTATGATTGTTGGGACCAAACAGATGAAGACATGCCTGATGTATGATTGTTGGGACCAAACAGATGAAGACATGCCTGACTCATGATTGTTGGGACCAAACAGATGAAGACATGCCTGACACATGATTGTTGGGACCAAACAGATGAAGACATGCCTGATGTATGATTGTTGGGACCAAACAGATGAAGACATGCCTGACGTATGATTGTTGGGACCAAACAGATGAAGACATGCCTGACGTATGATTGTTGGGACCAAACAGATGAAGACATGCCTGACACATGATTGTTGGGACCAAACAGATGAAGACATGCCTGACACATGATTGTTGGGACCAAACAGATGAAGACATGCCTGACTCATGATTGTTGGGACCAAACAGATGAAGACATGCCTGATGTATGATTGTTGGGACCAAACAGATGAAGACATGCCTGACACATGCTTCTCCATACTGCCGTGCTCAGAGCTCAGTTGAAACAACATCAAAGGTGTCTAATGTGCAATGAAGAAGAATGTACCTATTCTTGTGGTCACAAAAGTCCTGGACCTGCTGGTTGTTCCCCGCTGATCTCCGGAGGGCACAGCCCGTGTCAAATGGGAAGCTCAATACACGGTTGTGAGGTTAAGCAGTCATGGGCAGGACATGATGATTCCTTGGGTGAGCCCAGAACCAGAGCATCATGTGTCGGCTCTGCATTTATGGAAGCCTCCTTGGATGGCGGTGAATGCCCATGATCTGCCCCTGCCTTCACTTGAGGGCAAACCAATCTGCATAGGGCTGCCCTAAAGGGGGTACTCCGGTGGCAACACCTGTTGATAAAGGGACAAAAAGGACACCACACAAGACAATGGCCACAGTCATCCTAGAGATAGGCTTGATGTTTTCCCTCGAAGTTGGAGTACATCTGCCGGTGAGGCAGGGAATGGCAAACAAATAAGCCAGTAAAACGGATGTACACACAAAACTCAGGTCCAGGTAAAAGCCAAAAGTCCAAATGGACGAACTACCGGGACCTTCCGCCAGAATTCACAGCCGATGAACGAAGAAGAAGAAGAAGTGTGTTTGCAGCGCCAAAGCCACAGACATCCACTTTGCTGTTAAGCTGAGGACTGATCTGCGATCCAGTCTACGCTGGCTGGCATTGGCTATTGTTGTACCGGGAAGGGGTAAATCGTATTTAATATTGTTGATCCATATTGTGTGGCTGCCATTTTGCTCTTGTAGCTGATCTTCTTAAGCGTAGTGCATGTGATGGTATTTGGTGTTGCTGCATTCTGACGAAATGGTCAGACCACTTGATCTTCTATTTCTCAGTGAATCTGGTACAAGGTGTCGTCCCCACAATCTGAATCATTATTCACTTGTTCTCCGATGTTTAGGTTGGCATCCTTTTCTCAGGCATCTCATCTCGCAGGTGTTGATCTCACATGTATGGGCTTTAGATATTGTCCATGTTTGGCACTGGTAGCTCAGTGTTGGTAAGAATATACTGTTTAAATCTGCTTTCTTTGCACTTATAATTGTTTAGATGTCTTAATTATGGTGACAATTAGTATATAAGTGCATTTTCTTTCTGACATCTGGTTTCTATATCTCTTTCAATTCTACCGTCTTCCGTGATCACACTTTCTAGATACTTAATTTTCTAACTTGTTTCAGGCCAGAACTATTCATTGTATGATTCTCTTATGTGTGTAAATTAACCCGCAAGGAATATTGTATTCTTTACTGTTCATTACTTCCCCAGTTTACATGTACCATATACTTCAACCTAGATTTCCAGTGATCAGTCTCTATTCCTGAGTCTGCATATTCCTCACTGATTAACGTGGTCTGATATCTGGAAAGATGTGGAACGTACTAACCAACATGACTGAACACACCAGGACATATGAGACCTCTAGACATTTGAATACTTGCACATCTTCTTCTTTTTCTTCTTCTTTTACAGATCTGGCTTGTTTCACATATGCACATTTATTTTACAACTGTGCAAACTGGTTCCTAACCTCTCATAGAGATGCACTGAGACTTTGAAGGAAATATCCCTAATTAGTTGGCTCTTACAGCATGCTGGTTGGGGGAGGGGCGCAGTGAGTCTGTTCTGTTATTATTCTGTTATGTTCTGTTATTCCCTGGAACCCATATGGGGAGAGCAAAAGTCTTTCTGGTGGCTGTGGTGAGAGTGATTGTCAGCAACATGATATTGGTGGCCTACAGAGTACTGACCCTGTGTCTGTCTGTTTATTGTCAGCAACATGATATTGGTGGCCCACAGAGTACTGACCCTGTGTCTGTCTGTTCATTTTCAGGAAGTTCCAAAGATACACCTTTAAAAAGCAAACCCCAAATGAAAGATTCACAGGATGTTGACCCCAGGGCGGATCTGATACCCCCGCTGCCTTGTGCTATTAGCCAGGTGTTTCAGTTTATATTTGCCCCATCCAAGCTGGCAGTCTGCAGCAGCTGCTACCAGCAGGTGGTGCTGACTTCAGACAAGCCGGCAGCTCTGGATACAGCTGTCACCACGACCTTCAGAGGTGAGTGTTGCTGGGATGGAAGATCTTTGTGAGACTGAGCACTGTTTTTTTTTTTCATGCTGATGCATTGTTGTTTAGGTTGTTGTGTGTCTTGAAAATGTCTTTTTGTCTGTCGAGGTGAGCCTGGTAAGGAGACTTAACCTTCTGACCCGGTGCCAAAGTACCATTCCCTTGGGAACTTTGTGTCACATAGTACTCCTTACCTTCCCCAGTCCCAGGAACCAGCAGGTTGTGCGAGACCAGCACCAAAATTTCATGTCTGCTGAGAGATATTGTGATGCTTGCAAGGTTAGCCAAGCTAGGGACACAGTCTATGGGCAGTCCATTATGTTATATCCCCAAATGTTGTGTAATTTCCCCGTCTCATTTATTTAATGTCCTAGTCTGTTGTGTGATTGTTTCCCGTTCTCATGTTATGTCTCCATCTGTTGTGTGATTGTTTCATGTTCTTATGTTATGTCCCCATCTGTTGTGTGATTATTCTCCCTTTTCATGTTATGTCCCCATCTGTTGTGTGATTGTTTCCTGTTCTTATGTTATGTCCCCATCTGTTGTGTGATTATTCTCCCTTTTCATGTTATGTCCCCATCTGTTGTGTGATTATTCTCCCTTTTCATGTTATGTCACCATCTGTTGTGTGATTGTTTCCCGTTCTTATGTTGTCTCCATCTGTTGTGTGATTGTTTCCCGTTTTTATGTTATGTCTCCATCTGTTGTGTGATTGTTTCCCGTTCTTATGTTATGTCCCCATCTGTTGTGTGATTATTCTCCCTTTTCATGTTATGTCCCCATCTGTTGTGTGATTGTTTCCCGTTTTTATGTTGTCTCCATCTGTTGTGTGATTGTTTCCCGTTCTTATGTTATGTCCCCATCTGTTGTGTGATTGTTTCCCGTTCTTATGTTATGTCCCCATCTGTTGTGTGATTATTCTCCCTTTTCATGTTATGTCCCCATCTGTTGTGTGATTGTTTCCCGTTTTTATGTTATGTCTCCATCTGTTGTGTGATTGTTTCCCGTTCTTATGTTATGTCCCCATCTGTTGTGTGATTATTCTCCCTTTTCATGTTATGTCCCCATCTGTTGTGTGATTGTTTCCCGTTTTTATGTTATGTCTCCATCTGTTGTGTGATTGTTTCCCGTTCTTATGTTATGTCTCCATCTGTTGTGTGATTGTTTCCCGTTCTTATGTTATGTCTCCATCTGTTGTGTGATTGTTTCCCGTTCTTATGTTATGTCCCCATCTGTTGTGTGATTATTTCCCGTTTTTATGTTATGTCTCCATCTGTTGTGTGATTGTTTCCCGTTCTTATGTTGTCTCCATCTGTTGTGTGATTGTTTCCCGTTTTTATGTTATGTCTCCATCTGTTGTGTGATTGTTTCCCGTTCTTATGTTGTCTCCATCTGTTGTGTGATTGTTTCCCGTTTTTATGTTATGTCTCCATCTGTTGTGTAATTGTTAACCTTTCTCATGTTATGTCCCAATCTGTTGTGTAATGTTTTCATCTCCCAATGTTGTGTCCCAACTCCATCAGTCCTCCCAACTCCATCAGTCCAGAGTTCTGTCTCTAACTATTACCTGACCACACAGAGACAACTCCATCAGTCCAGAGTTCTGTCTCTAACTATTAAGTGACCACACAGTGAAATATTAAGCAATGAACCTCACTGTTCGGAATGCTGAGGAAGAAGAAGTATTTCTGATCAGCTGACACATCTTTATCTGTTGGGGAGTTCCTTTTATGATGTGCCACCAGAACACACACCAAGGGATAATGAGTCCAACAATCTTGACTGTAGAAGTGTATAACATGAAAATGGCAACACCGGGAGGCAGAGGGATAGCTGGCAGAAGATGGATTAAAGCAGTCACTGACATCCTAAAACTTTGCAACATTGCAGTGTACTGAGTAACCACTGAGGCCTAACCTTAAATACAGATCTGTGAAAACATCAGGCCTCCTACCACACAGCACATATTGATAACAGAGTAGACTAGGGTTTAATCTTGCATCCATGTTTGTTCCCAGATAATGAGGTGTCTTTATTCAGTGTGATGTCCCCTCCAGAACTACTGGACAGACACCTCAGACTGGGCTCGGACCTCCACGCCAAGGAACTCACTCAGATCCCCTTGACCAGCAAGGAGTCTACCAACTGGACCCACTTTGGAGGTAAGCAGAACTTGAAAGTCGGTCTTTTTCTGTTCTGAGTTCACCGGATGTAAACTCTGGTGGAAACTTCTCTTTGTTTATCCATGACTGGACTATGATCTTGTTCCTGAACTTGAGTGTTGCCTGCACATCCATTTTACAGATCTGGCTTATGTGTGTGCTTCATTGTTGGTTGCTCATTTCTCAGGCAGAATTGCTTCAACCTGAGAAGAAATGTTGATCCTCTTTACACAGGCCAGTCTCCGACAGGCACCATGTTTCTAGGGTGACCCTTGTCCTGACTAGCCAACATCACAGATGAGATGGTTCCGTCATCTAATGAGAAGGCCATTGTACCAGCTGCCGCAGAGAGTTACGCTGAAGAAATATAATGGGCATAGAGCAAGGGGAAGAACCTGCAGATTGTGGAATGACGGCATCAAGGACAGCCTTAAGGAAATAAAGACTAACTTATACAATGCATTGGAAAGAGAGCACACAGAAGATCCTTAGTTTCCCCCAAAACTTTGATGAAATATGATGATGATGATGATATTTTACCCCACCAGGACTCAACACTGGGCGATAAGCACCAAGTTCCGCCATTCGGATGAGGATCACCCGGGCACAGCTCCCAGAAACTCCGTTCAGTCCTTAGGCTGGGTTATATTAGGGTCCCTGGCAGCAGTCAGATCTGGGCTTCAAAATAACAAAAAATTGCATCCCACATTGGGACAGACATTTTGATGAAGAAACTGGAGGAAGGGAATCAGAAGAGCCTTTGTGAATGTTGTACCCTGAACACAGGCAATAGATGCCTTTCCTATTTTGCTGCATCTCATTAGGTGATTACCGAAGAGTTGGGTCAGCATACAAGGAAGCATAAATTTAAACCATGGTAACTGAAACACAACACATGGAGTTTATTGTATCAGTGAAACAGTTACCTCGGTAGTTGTAGACTAGCCAGCATGTCATTCTGTTGACATACCCTAAGGCAACCAGGCAGTTAGTCAAATAGAGCTGGGGTGGCATTCAGTATATGTAATGATGGGTAGAAGTATTGGGGCCTTGCGCTACCTTATAGTTTAGAGTCATGTTTGATGTGGAGGGATGTGAAGTGCTGAGAATTTAAGAAGTGAAAGGTTTCTGGAATGTAAAGGCATCTTTAAAAAGTGTTGTCTTGTCCTGCAATGTGAAGCTGTGGTTTTTTATATCGGTTGTCTCTTACTTGGAGATTTCACCAAGAAAGAACCTTTCTATTCATAGTCACAAAATGTCAGTCCTGGTTCCTCCAATTGACAGATCCAAACTTTTATCTGGCTCTAGCAAGGTGGCAAATCCTTCAAACTCAAAATTTGTTGCTTGCCAGGTGTTCCTCCAGCAGACGAGGTGAATATTCTCCGAGGCCAGATACTGTTGATCCAAAACCAGCTGTTGTATGAGCGCCACAAGAGGTCCAACCATGCTAAACGAAATCGGCGACTGCTGCGGAGGATTACCCACGTGACCATGTTGGAAGAGCAGCAGAAGACTCTAGTAAGTATTGGGATCATAAGTTGACTTCCTGTCTTGCAGGTTTTTCTCCTCATGTCCTTTAATACCATATTGTATGGGTATACCATATTGTTCAAATATTCCTTACCATAATTGAAGATTTTTTTATTGTGGTTTTTTTTCTTCATTTTTTTCCTTGTCTGTGTGGCGAACTGTTAGAACTGACAGAATGATAGCTCTTTCTTGATTCGGTGGGTGGTGCGGCATGGCAGCTCTTCAAACGTGTGACAGGCAGTGTTCAGAAGTTGGACCGTTAATTGTCCTACGGAATGAATCATTGGATAAGCCCAGTACCAGAATGCTGTGTGTTAGCTCTGCGTTTATGGAAGCCTCCTTGGCTGGTGGGGAAGGCCTATGATCTGCCCCTGCCTTCCCTTGAGAGCCGATCAGCCTGCACATGACTGCCCTGGACGGGTTCTCTAGGGGCAACATCTGTAGATAAAAGGAAAAAGGAGCATACTACACAGACAGGGCTACATCATGTCCCAGGTCAGCTGACCCGGTGAACAAACAAATGCCTAGTGAAGTCAGATGTATTGACCGAAAGTCACAAATATCGCAGCCATGCTGTAAAATCGCACAACAAAAATTGTATCACTGCAATAAATGGTGAATAAAAAGAATTCTCTTTTTTTGTTAACTTGAAGCCTTTGTCAAAATTTGAGTGATGTAGTCTCTTTTTTCTACATATTTCTTTGCCTGGTCTAGAAAAATATTGTGTACAATTTGAAGAGCGTATTCTTGAGATTTTGGGAAATTTTTCTTACACAACTTTTATAAATTCTCATTATCCTTGTGGAGAGTTCTATAATTTGGTAAATGTTTTCACAAGGTTTGGGGACACACTTTTTTCCTCAAACAGTTTGGGAGTCCTTTGGGTTATGGAATATTTTCTTGTATTTTCTACAGTTATAGAGATGGTTAAGGGGATCTGATAGCGTCTAGTAATGGTAGAGAGGGGGACAGTTTCTAGTGAAAGTAAATAGGAAAATAACCGGTTATGCTGCAGGTGAGGCCAATTCTGGTTAAAAGTGTTCTGTCAAAGATGATAAAGGAGGCAGGAAGGGAGGCTCATTTCTTGTTTAAAGGGGGGGGGAGTTTCTTGTACAACATGGCCCAACACATCCTATTTCCACATGAATCGATCTCATCAGAAACACATACAGATTGGGAAACCATCTTTTTTTTATGGCCACAATGTTAGTTAGTTAGTTAGCTAGTTAGTTAGCTAGCTAGCTAGTTAGTTAGCTAGTTAGTTTAGTTAGCTAGCTAGCTAGTTAGTTTAGTTAGCTAGTAAGTTAGCTAGTTAGTTAGGGATACGATCATTACACTCCGGACATGTCCATAGGTTCTCAGATCCTTCCCTCAAAATGAACCCGAGCCTCCTGTGTCTAATAGTGCCAGTCTTTTTGTATGCCCTGTGTGTCTCTGGCTTTTGGCTATGCCGAACTTAACTCCCGAATCTTTCATTCTGGTGAGCGATGTGGATTCGCTGTCTCGAAAGTCCTCCACCCTTCCCACTTCTCTGAGGACATTAATAATATCAGCATGATCCATGGGTTGACCTTCAGCAGTGATAACGGATCAAGCCAACTTATCAGCACTTTTGTTTCCATCGACATTTGTGTGCCCAGAATAAAGATAACGACGGCGTTATGCATGGCGGACTTCTGTAATAGCTCAATCCACTGCCTTCCCACAGAACTTGCCTGGATCTTTCAGATCATGCTCATGGAATCGCTAAGTACACACGCACGGGTATAGTCTTGTGTTCTTAGCTATACGAGTGCTTGCGTTACCGCCATCCCTCCATCGTCATGCTGCTTGTTTTCATGGACAAGGCACCGCTAACTTCTTTGATTGTTCTGCCCACTGACCGTGCTGTGAATGCCCTTGTACTTCTTTGTTGTTGTATAACAAATCCGTCTGTGTAGATGGCCACAGGGTTGAAGGAGGGAACAATGTCTAGTGTATGCAGCCAAATGTTTCATTGTGTTGGCAGGCAGAACAGATGAACCTGCAGGAGAAGGAGATTCAGCAGCTGAAGGTCAGCGTGAAGCTGCTGCAGGAAGACAACAGGATGTTGCGCCAGGGTCAGGAGTCTGATGAGTACCAGAAATTGGTGCAGTTCAGGTGAGAGTTCATGGATTAGTGCGGGGTGTGTTTTATTTGCTAATGTGGATTATGTAAACAATCATTCAAGGATTAGAGATAAATATATTGGTGAGCATGATAAGTTGTTGTGGATTATGTTGAATTCATTCAGTGATTAATGGTGGATAGACAAGTTTGGTAAATTGATGTGGATTTTATTGCATTCATTTATGAATTAGAGTGAATGAATCAGTATGATGTTGGTGTGGATTATGTTGGATTCATTCCCGGATTAGTTGTGGATGGATGGTTTAGTATGACTGCATGTGCAGATAATGTTGTATTCATTGATGGGTTAGTAGTAGATAGATGCGTGAGTATGATAAGTAAAGTAAAGGACCCTTTTCCACGCCTTTTAGGCGTATAGGGCATATAGGGCTAGACCAACGGCACAAGATGGGGGATGTGGTCAGCATCACGCAGGCCACCTCTACTTCCTGGGACTGCACCCGGTACCAGCACAAGGTTGGGTCAACCTGGGAGCCGAGGTCATTTTTTTTTACAGTCCGGCTCATGAGTATGATAAAGTGTGCAGATAATGTTGTTTACAGTCCGGCTCATGAATATGATAAAGTGTGCAGATAATGTTGGATTCATTCTTGATGTAATGGATGGATGTATTGAGCTGAGAGGCACAGATGTTGCAGCCTAGCTGTAAATGACAACACAGTGTACTGTCTCTTCTAAAGGTGAACAAAGAAGAAGAAAAGGTTATTGGATATATGAGAAGCTAGCATGGATTGTGTTTAATCCATTTATGAAATGGTGGTGGTGGTGTTGTTTTAGCCAGAAAAGGGAATGCATTCATCAGAGGAAGGTTGATGTAGAGGCTTGTCTCATGAGAGGCAGGGGTCGAAGGGCAGAGGTAGAAGGTCACAACCAAGGGCACTAACAGACAACATGGGCTGGAGGGACGGGGGTGACCACTTCAATCTGCCCCTGCGTGCAGCTCTACTGTAAACATGAAGGCAAAGTCGGCCTGTTCTGTTGGGAGAGTGTATACAATCAGTTGTCTGGACCCTTTCTGTTGCAGAACTTCATTGAAAGAGAACAAGGATCTGAAGGCGGCCAGTGTGGTGCTGAAAAACCTGCTGCTACAGCAGAAGGAAGAACATGACAGGCAGCAGAAAGTGAGAACTTCTTGTCTTTTCTCTGTTCTTGCTCATTTCTTTCTTGTCATTTGTTCTTTTGTAGATTGTAATTAAGATTACTTTATAATTGGGTCATGTACTTCAGTACTTCAGTGTTTCAATCAATCAGTGACATTTATTTAATCAAGTGATTTCTAAATCACGATGGGCATATTTTCAGTCAGTCATATTGTCAGTTATAAACTCATTCACTTCTTCACTCAATTAATAAGTCAGTGACTTTTGTTTTTTGAAACCAGATAATTCAGAACCTGTTCTCTACCAGGTAGAGTTGGGCCTTCGAGTTGGCTCCCCTGTCGCCTGAATTGTTTCATCCACAGAAGGCAGCCAACTGAACAGAGCAATGATATGTCTTGGCACGAGTTAAATGAGGATCTAGGCTTAACTGGGGTGTGGTTGGGGAAGAGCAGACCAAGGTGTCAACTAGCTGTAAACTCTGATGGAAAGTTCTAGTTGTCGTCCATTTTTGGACTTTTGTTCTGTTGGTTAGAACTTTTGCATGCACATCTGTTATACGGATCTGGCTTATTTATATACAGACTGTTAGTTTCTCACCTCTCAGGCAGTTACGTACTGGTGGCTTATAATGAAAACCGCCTGGTTATTTTTTTTTTTTTTGACATGCTTGTTAGAGAGAGGCTGTGGATCTGTTCTCTCCCAAAATGAGGCCCAAGAACCCACAAGGGAAGTTTTTCTGTACAGATATTCAGTTAGTGTCACTACACCTCAAGTCATCGAAACAGTTCCTTTACTTTTAATGTATTTCTTATTTACATTTATTAAACGTTTTAAAATAACGTATGAGAAATTGTCTTCCTTGCAGAGACTGGACAGTGTCCTGCATAAAAATCTGGAGAGTGAAAAGGAACTGGAGATCTGCAGGGAGAGGCTTGCCCTCACAGACAAACTCTCACAGAGGGTGAGGAATATTTTTATGCTTACTGTTGTCTTGTCTGCTTTCTTTAAATGAAATCATTCTCTAGTTTGTCTCCTCTTATTTAAATTGATGTTGTCTCTGAGAGAATCATTGTCTGTGTTGTTAGGTCTGAGAGAATCATTGTCTGTGTTGTTATCGCTGAGAAAATCATTGTTTGTGCTGTTATCTCTGAGAGAATCATTGTCTGTGTTGTTATCAGACAATGAGAGAATCATTGTCTGTGTTGTTATTGCTGAGAAAATCATTGTTTGTGTTATCCCTGAGCATTTCCGTAATCAACAACAACTGAAGACGTATGGGACTTTCAGCCAGAATGGCCGATAGCCGACTGACTGCTGACACTGTTATGTTATGTGTTGATGATGCAAATTCCATGCAATTTCTGAGTTTCTGCCTGGGAGTCCCATTGGTTCTGTTGCCCAGCTTTTGGGTTTAGTGCTTGGTGTGACAATGCGAGCTGTAGATTTCATGTGGATTTTCTTCTTTTCTGCCTGTAGTGTGTTGACTTCACAAAATCGCAGATGGCTTTCAGAATTGCATGTATTTTGTGGGAGTTATGCTGGCGTTTATGATTGATCTTTTGCGCTAGAAGTAAGCTCAGTTCTGGTGAGGGTGTGTTAATGTTGGCACATCTGACAGCTGCCTCATGCATTTTTATTTTGCATGTGCAAGCTTCAAGATTTTGATGGGACTGACAAGTTTTTCACAAGTTTTCAAATGGGCCAGTGACAGACACTGTGATTTCCACAGACACCGGGAATGGAGCAGTGGTGGAGCCACCTGTCTGCGGTGATGTTGGAACCTTGACTAACAAAGACGTATGCTTCTCTGACAGGTTTTCCAGCTGCAGAAAGAGCTACTGCTGACGCAGGAGTTCCGACAGAAATGCCAGGAACAGCTTCAGCAGAACCTGGTGACCCCCAGACACAAGATGGAGGAGTCATTGTTGATCAACTCACTGAAAGCTGAGATTGCAGGTTGGTGCATATCTGGTTGTGGGAGTGGGGATGTGGTGGTGACTGTTAATGTGTGATGAGTCATTTGTACGGTCAAAGTGCAAACACAGAGAACTAGAATGTACCTTCTTTTTGTTTTCATACTGCCTCCCCATGGTTTTCAGACAGGAAGGCCACAGGCTTCCGTGAAGGTACAACACATGTCCTTCACTGATGTGTTTATCTTGGTTTGAGCCGGAAAGCCAATTGGGCATGTAACAAGCATGCCTGAAGCACGTGTTCAGTGTTTTGTGGTGCCAGGCCACTTGTACAAAGTTCTGTGTCCTTAATCTTGAATATCTGATACAAATGGCTGCAGAGTCTGTTACCAAAGAGAACTAGATAGTGCCACATCACCAGTTAGACAACTGTCCCAAGTGTTGAAGCTTTTCTTCTTCACAATATATAATATATGTGGAATACTGGTCAGTTTGGTCAAGTGTCTACTGAAGGGTAAAGCAATGTCAGTGACAGAGTGAGTGGACGGAGGAAGAGATGTGATCATCAGGCAGCAGAATGTTCCACTCATCACATGTGGTCAAGAATGAGAGATGGATGAGAGCTTGGTACATCTAAGCCTGGGAAACAGAATAAACAAGCCTTGTGTTGTTGGCTGTAGTGACGTGTTCTATGTTTGTTCCGTGTGGTCTGCCTGGATGTCTCTATGATGTGTGTTACCTGTTTGTTCCGTGTGGTCTGCCTGGATGTCTGTGTGATGTGTGTTACCTGTTTGTTCCGTGTGGTCTGCCTGGATGTCTGTGTGATGTGTGTTACCTGTTTGTTCCGTGTGGTCTGCCTGGATGTCTGTGTGATGTGTGTTACCTGTTTGTTCCGTGTGGTCTGCCTGGATGTCTGTGTGATGTGTGTTACCTGTTTGTTCCGTGTGGTCTGCCTGGATGTCTGTGTGATGTGTGTTACCTGTTTGTTCCATGTGGTCTGCCTGGATGTCTGTGTGATGTGTGTTACCTGTTTGTTCCGTGTGGTCTGCCTGGATGTCTGTGTGATGTGTGTTACCTGTTTGTTCCGTGTGGTCTGCCTGGATGTCTCTATGATGTGTGTTACCTGTTTGTTGCGTGTGGACTGCCTGGATGTCTGTGTGATGTGTGTTACCTGTTTGTTCCGTGTGGTCTGCCTGGATGTCTCTGTGATGTGTGTTACCTGTTTGTTCCGTGTGGTCTGCCTGGATGTCTGTGTGATGTGTGTTACCTGTTTGTTCCGTGTGGTCTGCCTGGATGTCTGTGTGATGTGTGTTACCTGTTTGTTCTGTGTGGTCTGTCTGGATGTTTGTGTGATGTGTGTTACCTGTTTGTTGCGTGTGGTCTGCCTGGATGTCTGTGTGATGTGTGTTACCTGTTTGTTCCATGTGGTCTGCCTGGATGTCTCTATGATGTGTGTTACCTGTTTGTTCCGTGTGGTCTGCCTGGATGTCTGTATGATGTGTGTTACCTGTTTGTTCCATGTTGTCTGCCTGGATGTCTCTATGATGTGTGTTACCTGTTTATTCCGTGTGGTCTGCCTGGATGTCTCTGTGATGTGTGTTACCTGTTTGTTGCGTGTGGTCTGCCTGGATGTTTGTGTGATGTGTGTTACCTGTTTGTTGCGTGTGGTCTGCCTGGATGTCTGTGTGATGTGTGTTACCTGTTTGTTCCGTGTGGTCTGCCTGGATGTCTCTATGATGTGTGTTACCTGTTTGTTCCGTGTGGTCTGCCTGGATGTCTGTGTGATGTGTGTTACCTGTTTGTTCCGTGTGGTCTGCCTGGATGTCTGTGTGATGTGTGTTACCTGTTTGTTCCGTGTGGTCTGCCTGGATGTCTCTATGATGTGTGTTACCTGTTTGTTCCGTGTGGTCTGCCTGGATGTCTGTGTGATGTGTGTTACCTGTTTGTTCCATGTGGTCTGCCTGGATGTCTGTGTGATGTGTGTTACCTGTTTGTTCCGTGTGGTCTGCCTGGATGTCTGTGTGATGTGTGTTACCTGTTTGTTCCGTGTGGTCTGCCTGGATGTCTGTGTGATGTGTGTTACCTGTTTGTTCCATGTGGTCTGCCTGGATGTCTGTGTGATGTGTGTTACCTGTTTGTTCCGTGTGGTCTGCCTGGATGTCTGTGTGATGTGTGTTACCTGTTTGTTCCGTGTGGTCTGCCTGGATGTCTCTGTGATGTGTGTTACCTGTTTGTTCCGTGTGGTCTGCCTGGATGTCTGTGTGATGTGTGTTACCTGTTTGTTCCGTGTGGTCTGCCTGGATGTCTGTGTGATGTGTGTTACCTGTTTGTTCCGTGTGGTCTGCCTGGATGTCTCTATGATGTGTGTTACCTGTTTGTTGCGTGTGGTCTGCCTGGATGTCTGTGTGATGTGTGTTACCTGTTTGTTCCATGTGGTCTGCCTGGATGTCTCTATGATGTGTGTTACCTGTTTGTTCCGTGTGGTCTGCCTGGATGTCTGTATGATGTGTGTTACCTGTTTGTTCCATGTTGTCTGCCTGGATGTCTCTATGATGTGTGTTACCTGTTTATTCCGTGTGGTCTGCCTGGATGTCTCTGTGATGTGTGTTACCTGTTTGTTGCGTGTGGTCTGCCTGGATGTTTGTGTGATGTGTGTTACCTGTTTGTTCCATGTGGTCTGCCTGGATGTCTGTGTGATGTGTGTTACCTGTTTGTTGCCGTTTATAGTTTGTGCTTGATCTTGTTTTGTAACTTGTATCAGATTTTACCAGAAGCAACAAGAAGAAATCAAATATGTTGGAAGCCTACCAGACTCGAGTGGTGGAGTTGGAGGAGCAACTGAGATTAAAGGTTGGCAGTTTTGTTTTTTAATTTCATTCATTACATTTAGTAGACAACTTTTACATTTCATGCCATAGGTAGCTCTTACACTACATATAGTAGGTAGCTCTTAGGTTATGTGTAGTAGATAGCTCTTACATTATGTGCAGTAGATAGCTCTTAGGTTATGTGCAATAGATAGCTCTTAGGTTATGTGTAGTAGATAGCTCTTAGGTTATGTGTAGTAGATAGCTCTTACATTATGTGCAGTAGATAGCTCTTAGGTTATGTGCAATAGATAGCTCTTAGGTTATGTGCAATAGATAGCTCTTAGGTTATGTGTAGTAGATAGCTCTTAGGTTATGTGTAGTAGGTAGCTCTTAGGTTATGTGTAGTAGGTAGCTCTTAGGTTATGTGTAGTAGATAGCTCTTAGGTTATGTGTAGTAGATAGCTCTTAGGTTATGTGTAGTAGGTAGCTCTTAGGTTATGTGTAGTAGGTAGCTCTTAGGTTATGTGTAGTAGGTAGCTCTTAGGTTATGTGTAGTAGATAGCTCTTAGGTTATGTGTAGTAGATAGCTCTTAGGTTATGTGTAGTAGGTAGCTCTTAGGTTATGTGTAGTAGATAGCTCTTAGGTTATGTGTAGTAGATAGCTCTTAGGTTATGTGTAGTAGGTAGCTCTTAGGTTATGTGTAGTAGATAGCTCTTAGGTTATGTGTAGTAGATAGCTCTTAGGTTATGTGTAGTAGATAGCTCTTAGGTTATGTGTAGTAGATAGCTCTTAGGTTATGTGTAGTAGATAGCTCTTAGGTTATGTGTAGTAGATAGCTCTTAGGTTATGTGCAGTAGATAGCTCTTAGGTTATGTGTAGTAGATAGCTCTTAGGTTATGTGTAGTAGATAGCTCTTAGGTTATGTGTAGTAGGTAGCTCTTAGGTTATGTGTAGTAGATAGCTCTTAGGTTATGTGTAGTAGATAGCTCTTAGGTTATGTGTAGTAGATAGCTCTTAGGTTATGTGTAGTAGATAGCTCTTAGGTTATGTGTAGTAGATAGCTCTTAGGTTATGTGTAGTAGATAGCTCTTAGGTTATGTGTAGTAGATAGCTCTTAGGTTATGTGTAGTAGGTAGCTCTTAGGTTATGTGTAGTAGATAGCTCTTAGGTTATGTGTAGTAGATAGCTCTTAGGTTATGTGTAGTAGATAGCTCTTAGGTTATGTGTAGTAGATAGCTCTTAGGTTATGTGTAGTAGGTAGCTCTTAGGTTATGTGTAGTAGGTAGCTCTTAGGTTATGTGTAGTAGATAGCTCTTAGGTTATGTGTAGTAGATAGCTCTTAGGTTATGTGTAGTAGATAGCTCTTAGGTTATGTGTAGTAGGTAGCTCTTACACTACATGTAGTAGGTAGCTCTTAGGTTATGTGTAGTAGATAGCTCTTAGGTTATGTGTAGTAGATAGCTCTTAGGTTATGTGCAGTAGATAGCTCTTAGGTTATGTGCAGTAGGTAGCTCTTAGGTTATGTGTAGTAGATAGCTCTTAGGTTATGTGTAGTAGATAGCTCTTAGGTTATGTGTAGTAGATAGCTCTTACATTATGTGCAGTAGATAGCTCTTAGGTTATGTGTAGTAGATAGCTCTTAGGTTATGTGCAGTAGATAGCTCTTACATTATGTGCAGTAGATAGCTCTTAGGTTATGTGTAGTAGATAGCTCTTAGGTTATGTGCAGTAGATAGCTCTTACATTATGTGCAGTAGATAGCTCTTAGGTTATGTGTAATAGATAGCTCTTAGGTTATGTGCAATAGATAGCTCTTAGGTTATGTGCAGTAGATAGCTCTTAGGTTATGTGCAGTAGATAGCTCTTACATTATGTGCAGTAGATAGCTCTTAGGTTATGTGCATTAGATAGCTCTTAGGTTATGTGCAATAGATAGCTCTTAGGTTATGTGCAGTAGATAGCTCTTAGGTTATGTGCAATAGATAGCTCTTAGGTTATGTGCAATAGATAGCTCTTAGGTTATGTGCAGTAGATAGCTCTTAGGTTATGTGCAGTAGATAGCTCTTACATTATGTGCAGTAGATAGCTCTTAGGTTATGTGCAATAGATAGCTCTTAGGTTATGTGCAGTAGATAGCTCTTAGGTTATGTGCAATAGATAGCTCTTAGGTTATGTGCAGTAGATAGCTCTTAGGTTATGTGCAGTAGATAGCTCTTAGGTTATGTGCAGTAGATAGCTCTTACATTATGTGCAGTAGATAGCTCTTACACTACATGTAGTAGATAGCTCTTAGGTTATGTGCAGTAGATAGCTCTTACATTATGTGCAGTAGATAGCTCTTACACTACATGTAGTAGATAGCTCTTAGGTTATGTGCAGTAGATAGCTCTTAGGTTATGTGCAGTAGATAGCTCTTAGGTTATGTGCAGTAGATAGCTCTTACATTATGTGCAGTAGATAGCTCTTACACTACATGTAGTAGATAGCTCTTAGGTTATGTGCAGTTCATTTCGCGAATGTTTCAGAACAAATTAAGTTTGAGAACTGTTGTTCCACTGAAGTTTGTTAATTTTCTATCACCAGACTGCTGGCACTTTCTGTGTGACCGCCCCATTTTGAGAGACATCCTCAAAAACTGTTTAGACTACATTTACTGTCTGTCTGTCTGGTGAAGGTTAGAAGTGTGTCATTTCTAGGCCAGACAGACAGACATTGTCTCTGCATGCTCGTGTTAGCCTGAAGGTCTGGGTGGGGAAATGTCTGTCTGATATCGCCACCTGCCGGACTGTTGGCAGAGTCAAGGACTTTCCAAACACAGAAAGAAAAAGGAAACAGATTGATAAATCAACTTGACCTTTGTTGATAAATTAATTTGACCTTTGTGAGTTCAGATAAAGTGTGTGGTCAGCTAATTACTGCTCATCTGATGCTCCTTCATAAGCTCATGCCTCTTACACAGTAGGTTCTGGTGTTATTCTTTGCGTTCCTCATGGGCTCTAGTCTGCCACATCTGATCTACACTGCGTGCCCATTGACTGTCATCAGGGGTCATACTGAACACCTCCCCTCTGCAGAGAGCCTTTCGTGAGAATGGAGATTGAGGCAGTAACAGCAGCTTTCCAATGTCTTGACAGCAGTAACAGCAGCTTTCCAATGTCTTGACAGCAGTAACAGCAGCTTTCCAATGTCTTGACAGCAGTAACAGCAGCTTTCCAATGTCTTGACAGCAGCACAGCCTGACATGTTATAATTGTGATGGACTCACAGAGCATGCTGCGAAACAAAAACTGGCATCATTTCAGTTAGTGGCTTGCACCATTTGATAACATTGAGATCAAGAACATATGGATTTTCTGTCTAGGATATTCGGGTGTGCAGGCTGACAGACTAACTGCTACCACTCCTCTGGGCACTGAGCTACTTTATGATAAAGCAGATATGGTGAAGGCTGTCTTGTTCAGGTGGACAGTCCAATAGACAGAGAATCCATACACTGAAAGACTTTCAAATGGGGGTGAGCAGAGGTTCAGGAAGACATTCAACACTGAGAGAGAAACAGAGACAGACTTTTAGTCAGCTTGTAGCTGGTTCTATTAGCATGTCAACGCTTGGTTGGCTGCTGAACACGGGGACAGAGCATATGTGGGAATTCCCCCAGTGAAGTAATGTCAGTTCTACATTCACTTATTTGCCCCACATGTTACAGCTCTCTAACAGAACGATGGACGGAGAACTAAAACTGTCGTCTTTGTGTGATGTTTTTATGTGATGTCTTTATGTGATGTTTCAGGAAAATGCCATTGCTGAGCTCAAGCGCAACTTTGAAGATGCTAAACATCGACACGACGACCAGGTGAAGGTAAGTGAATGGTGACTGCCACCATGTTGGCTGTCATATTTAGAGCACACTTTGGCGCTTGTTGTATTGGCTGACTTTTATTGGAAGTATTTATTCACCGAACCTTGACACCAAATATGGCATTTTCTGACTTAGTGAACCGTCTTGAGTTGGTTTCTGGTAGTTGCTGTGCTATCTTTATGAATCAGATCAGTCCCCTTGTTGGTTCCAGGGACCCCGTGTGGGGGAAGTAGACCCACTGCCCTACTTCCTAACAGGCATTTTTCTGCTTCTGCCTTTCTAACCCCCAATGGAGCACAGCACTCAGCCAACTCACACCAAGTCATTCGATCCTTGGCTATCGCATGCATCTCTCCCCATCTTGTTAACATCATTCTCTAGCTCCGTTCTCCATGTCTTCTTTGGTCTTCCTTTATTTCTGTGCCTCTCTGGGTTGCAGTGCAAAGACATTCTAGGCATGTCACAAAAGCGACTAGTTGGGGGTGTTTCCTTTGAAGTCCTGAGTGCATCGACCGGAGAGGCGAGAAACCAACAGTCTGCTTACATTAAGTCAGATCTTTAAAATAGATGTACATGTAAAACTGAAATTCTGGTATAAGATTAAAGTTCAGAAGTGGGCAAACAACCAAAACATTGTGCCGATGTTTACGGCCGATAAGCACTAGGAAGAAGAGGAGATAAAAGAATAGTATACGCCCTAGTCCTAACTGCTCCACCACCTAAGTTTGAGTCAGATAGTCACCCACATATTATGTACACTCGTTTCGGCATGTGTACATTTGTCATTTCCTTTTTTTTCCTTTTTTTCCTTGTATTCAAGAGAATGAGATCTGTAAAACTGATGAACACGCAACACTCAGGTTCTGGAGCAGGACTGTAGTTCAGAAGTGGCCGAGCGACCAGAACTTTCCGCCAGAGTGTACAGCTGGTGAACGCGAAGAAGAAGAAGACTTATTTTTTGTAATTGTGTTGTTTGTGATCAGGTTGTTTGTGATTATAGTGTTTGTAAACAGGCTATTTATGATCAGGTTGTTTGTAATTATAGTGTTTGTGAACAGGTTGTTTGGGATTATAGTGTTTGTGAACAGGTTGTTCGTAATTATAGTGTTTGTGAACAGGTTGTTTGTGAACAGGTTGTTTGTGATTATAGTGTTTGTGAACAGGTTGTTTGTGATTAGGTTGTTTGTAATTATAGAGTTTGTGAACAGGTTGTTTGTGATTATAGTGTTTGTGAACAGGTTGTTTGTGATCAGGTTGTTTGTGATTATAGTGTTTGTGAACAGGTTGTTTGTGATTATAGTGTTTGTGAACAGGTTGTTTGTGATCAGGTTGTTTGTGATTATAGTGTTTGTGAACAGGTTGTTTGTGAACAGGTTGTTTGTGATTAGGTTGTTTGTGATTATGGTATTTGTGAACAGATTGTTTGTGATCAGGTTGTTTATGATTATGGTGTTTGTGATCAGGTTGTTTGTGATTATGGTGTTTGTGATTATAGTGTTTGTGAACAGGTTGTTTGTGATTATAGTGTTTGTGAACAGGTTGTTTGTGATTATGGTGTTTGTGGTCAGGTTGTTTGTGATTATAGTGTTTGTGAACAGGTTGTTTGTGATCAGGTTGTTTGTGAACAGGCTGTTTATGATTAGGTTGTTTGTGATTATAGTGTTTGTGAACAGGTTGTTTGTGATCAGGTTGTTTGTGATTATAGTGTTTGTGAACAGGTTGTTTGTGATTATGGTGTTTGTGAACAGGGTGTTTGTGATCAGGTTGTTTGTGATTATGGTGTTTGTGATCATGTTGTTTGTGATTATGGTGTTTGTGAACAGGTTGTTTGTGATTAGGTTGTTTGTGATTATAGTGTTTGTGAACAGTTTGTTTGTGATCAGGTTGACATTGTTTTGATTCTTATTTTTTTGTTTGTGATTGTCCAAGTTGTGTTTGTGTTGTTTGTGATTGTCTAAGTTGTGTTTGTGTTGTTTGTGATTGTCTAAGATGTGTTTGTGTTGTTTGTGATTGCCTTAGTTGTGATTGTGTTTATGATCAGGTTGTTTTTTATTGTGATGATTCTGATTGTGGTGATTGTGATTGTGTTGATTGTCATGTTGCAGGCTGTTGAAGAGCGGTGTCAGAGTATGGTACACATAGCTCAACAACTAGAGGCCAAGGTCATGGAACTGACCTGCAAGCTTGACCAGACTGCACACAGGAACATGGTGGATGCTATGAAGGCCATTGGTGCCAGTTGTGGGGGTGTTGGTAGTGCCACTTCTGGATCTACCGCTTCTGTAGGGATTACAGACAACAGCGAGCCTCTTGAACTCACAGAAGTCGAATCCAGCTTTGCTAAAGCCAGCTTTGATATCAACAGACCAAAGTCAGCTAATGTGACAGACAATGACAGTGCAGCAGTTCTCGTTTCAGAAAAACCCAAGAATATCACTAAACATTCTAGTTTTGAGGTCAAAGGTCAGGTCGATTTGGTCACCAAGCTTCCAGCTGAGGTGACGGTTGTTGTTGCCGGAGATGAGGTGTCTGTTGTCGGTTCAACCTTCAGAGACAACTCCCCAGAAGCCTTACATCCTGATCAGGTACTCACAGAGTCAGCTCAAGATCTTGTGGACATTGACCTGCCCTCGGACTCCGGAGCTGCCAGCAGAACATCCTACAGAGTGGACAGCGACGCCAGCATGAAGTCAGTCTCTGGACACAGTCTGGCCACTGGAGACAGCGGCTGCTGGCCCAAGGACTAAATATATTTTCAGTATTTTATGTTTATGAAACTTTCCTCAGTAAACAGGTTACTCAGATACAAGGCCATTATTGTCAGTTTGTTCTGCAGATTACTCAGATCAGTGTGGTCAGATCTAGAGCGGTAAAAAGTGCTGGCCCAGTGAATCAATATTTGTTTTGTTGTAGAATGTTTCCCCAAAGAAGTTACTGAAGGACATTCAGGGATTGCTTGGAAGATCAGAGGCTGAGCAGATACTGCCAGGGCCTCCACATTAGGAGACATGAACATTGTCATCGCTGGTCAACCGAAAGATGTCAGTTTGCCACCGATGAAAGCTTCTAAAGATTGAGCCTATAGGATATGAGATGACTGCCTGGGAATATGACCCTGAATGCTTGTGCCACCTGTGGACAAAATCTGTGCCAGTTGTTTTTGGAGAAGTTCATTCACACTTGTTTTTAGTCAGCTTGATCTCAAGTCTTTCACTGTATACAAGGAATGTCCGAACTGCAGGGTCAGCCCTGAGCATGTTCAACGTACAGTTAATACGTCATATTTACATATTGTGTTCTGACGAGTCCCACTTGTGTGTTTAATATGTTTAAAGTATTGCCATATATTTATATGTTGAAAGTATTACTGAAGTTTTATATGTTGGAATTAACATTGTGTTATGATATGTTGGGAGTATCGTTATATTTGATATACTGAAATTATCCTTGTATGAAAGTATCTTGTATGTTCACAGTATTACTTTATGTCCTATGTGTATCTGTATGCTGGCCAAGTCATCAAAGAACAGAAGTTTCTTCTTCCTTTCCTTCCTCCGAGTTTCCTTACTGTGTTATACCTGTTTACAGCAGAGTTATGATATTTGCGTCTTTGACCGACACATCTGACTTCATGGAGCAATTAATGACCAGGTTCACTTCCCGGGTAGTTTTGTGGGATGTGATGAAGCCTCAAATGTGTGGTGTTCTCTTCATCCCCTCATCTACCCCCTACCCAGGGTCACCATGTGTAGACAGGTCGCCCCCTCAAGAGAAGGCGGGGGCAGAACATGGGCATTCCCCACCATCTTAGGAGGCTTCCATAAATCAAGAACCGGCACATGATGCTCTAACCCACAGAATCATATCCTGCACCTGATTGCTTTACCTCACATCCAAATGTGTGAGATGGTCTCTCGGGATAGGCTAGGCCCTCTGGGATCAGCAAGGAGCAGCCTGCATGCCTGAGGATCCAGTGACCAGACAGATAGGCACATTCTTTACGCGCTAGACTCCTTGATTGTTCTTCCATCGGGACACTTGCACGACTGCATGGACAAGCATGCATTAGACATGGCTTTCTCTCATTGCTCCCACCCTCTGGCGAGTGGGGCCATGGCTAACGGACATCTGAATCTTTCTGCCAAGTTGTAGAATTTTGGATGCTCGGACATTTAGGGTTTTGCTTGTATGCCATGGTTCATGTATCTGACGGACACTTGTGCCTAAGCAGCTGACGGACAGAGGCAGATTTTTGTGGTGTAGCTCAGCAAAGTGACGACGTTGAAGGTCGGCAAAGGGTGTATGACGATACAACAGCACTGCCAGATACTGCCCATATATCAATCAATCAGGTGCCGTCTCCACAATGAAGGTTGGCTGCAATGGATCTCCAACAAGCCCTGTCTCTTGCCCTTAATGTACACTCACTCATACTGCTGTTCGTCCATCTCTTGATGTTATCCTCCCACTTGTAACGCTGTCTGCCTCTTGCTCGCCTACCTTGAACCTTTCCCTCTAGGATGATCTTTACAATACTGTTATGTCTTTTAATGTGACCAAAATATTTCACGTCTCTTTTTTATTTCACCTAGCAACTCTCTTTTCATTCCCAATTCCCTCAGTACCTCTGTATTTGATAGCTTTTGTTTCCATGAAATACGACCTAATCTTCTGTATATCCACATCTCCAAAGAATTGATACGATTTTCCCCCAGATATTGCTTGTCAAAGCTACCAGCAAATCTCTTGGTCTAGGACTGAGTCTCATCGGTTCAATATTTCTTCCATTCAACAGATGTCTTAACCCAGGGTTGTCATTCAGTAAATCAGTTTTGATAGACCTTATTACCCATGCATTGAGGGTGGGCTGATGAGAGCCAAAACTGGACACCACATCTCTGGTGGGTCCACCAACTCCGAGATACCCTACCAGCCAGCTCTGTGTATGTATGGAAATGTTGAAGGCTCAGAATCATGTAGTAAATAAGCATATTTTAACTGTTATACATGATTAAAATATGCTTCACCCTTACACACCCCCCCCCCCCCGCCCCCCCCCCAACCCCCCCTCGATGAGGTCAATGGTGAAAGAAAAAGAAGAAATATGCTTCAAACCGTGTGACAAAGCAAAAGTATATGTTAAATTAGTGTTTGTCAAGTGACATTTTACGTTGAATTACGATATATATATTAAATGTTCTGAGGGTGGTAAATTATCAGGCCTTCAAAGTGCACATTTGTTTTGTGAATTAATCTGATGTCTATGATACGTTGAAGGGTCTGTATGTGAGTGAATAAATCTGATTGATACATGCAAAGAACTATATGTCAATAAATCTGATGTCTATGGTATGTGCAAGTGTCTATGATATGTGCAAAGGTCTATGATATGTATATTCCATGAAGTTAAATGGCTCTGCTTGTAAAGAATAAGCAACTTGTTAGGGAACAGTGGGTAGTTTTTTGCTACCAGAATTAGGCCCTGAATTGGATGGAGTACCTGTAGAAGTATTTTGTCATAGGTATTTCTCTAAAAGGAACCATGTGGTATTAATATCTTTTGACTGGTCTGTCTGTTTCACCAGACTGTATGTGATGATAGTGTAGTCTTTTCTGTGGTGATACAGCGCATTGTGTGCTCCAATGTAAAACAAGCTATTATTATTGTATTTGTAGGCAAATCTCACCAAATGTGTTCGACATCAGTGTCAGCATAAGTCAGTGTTAACATGTCACTTGTACATTAATACCTGAGTGTTCAATATTTTGTTTGCAGCGGTCAGCGAGAACGTAAACCTGTTTTGTTGCAGCGGTCAGCGAGTACGTAAATCTGCTTTGTTACAGCGGTCAGCGAGAATGTAAACCTGTTTTGTTGCAGCGGTCAGCGAGAACGTAAACCTGTTTTGCTGCAGCAGTCAGCGAGAACGTAAACCTGTTTTGTTTTTCTTTCTTATGTGCTTTTTGATCAGTGAAATTTGTTACTTTTAAACACTCCATCCCAATCTTCTGCAGCAAGGGTTGAGTTCCAGTTCTGATGCTACCAGTAGCAGTCTGAGCAGACGCCTGTCTGACCTTTCTTCTGAAAGCGCCCGCAGATCCGCTGGTCACTCTCTACCGCACATCACAATGGTCTTTCGCACGTCCGCACGGTTTACTCACTCCCAAAGGACCTTGACCACACCTAGCTTGTCAAGCCTCAAGAGACCAGCCAATCTGTCTCCCTGTTCATTTCTTAATACACCTGCTATGTTAACTTCCACACATTCAGATAATGCAACACACAAAAAAACAAGGAAAGCACTGTCTAACAACAATATGTTTATTTGCTTGTCAAGGATGTGAGAAACCTCTGAGGTCATCAAAGTAAATCAATAAAGTAAAAAACAAAAAAATAATAATATGTGATTGATTGACTCTCGTAGAAGGAAGAGCACAGGACATCGTAGGATGACAGGAGAAACCAGTAAGTGTGCTTCATCAACAGCTGAAAAATTAACCACTAAATGTAGAGTACTTTGTAACTATCAGTCTAGTATGTCTGCACACACCACATTGTCCTCCTTCAAAGTGCTAATCTTACTGACAAGAGTTGATCTGGTTCATTTCTCAGAATTTGGAAACACTTGTAGATTAGTCTGTACATGGAAGTCAACATCCACCAGCAACCAAGACTGGCTGGCCAGCAAATATATACTCAGCTTTTATAATCTTCATAATCGTAGACTCTTGTGGGAAGTTTCTTTTCGAGGAGACCTGAAAGTTGAACAACAATGACCCCACTTTAGATCAACATTTCATGCTGTTTACTGACACAACTGAGTCCCAGCACAAAGACATTCTAGTTGTGTCAGCATCAAGTTTTCTTAACATCAAGTGTCTGTGTCTGTTCCCCAACTCTAGACTGGAGGAACCACTTGTATTTGTTTGTTTAGTGTATCAAATCTCTATATCAGTGTCACTTTAAATTCTTTATTCTAATATCAACCCAGTGGCACTTTATGAAATGGAAACACCAAGAAAAATTAAAACAATTACTGATAAACTATCAAAGGTTCATTAACGGTGCCTGCACACAATAGAAAGGTTGAATGGTACCAGTATATGCATAGCTCAAGGAAAGAACTTCACAAATTCCAGTGAATTAAGAAATGTGGATCAAATCGTGGCAACTGATAGGACAGACTTGTTGAATCTAATGAGAATCTCTCACTGGAAATCCTTTCTTTGAAACTCTCAGATCCGCATGTGGGTTGTGGGGCCCCATTGTGGGGGGAAACAAGAACAGACCCACTGCCTGCCTAAAAGCTTGTCGTGGAAGTTCACTGACTGGAAGCTTCCTTCAAAGCTGGGGCACATCTGCCTGAGAGACAAGGAACCAACAGTCTGCATACAAATGAGTTAAATGGATGTGCAAACAACACTCAGGTTCTGGAACAGTACTAGAGTTCAGAAGTGGATAAACAACCAGAACTTTCCATCAAAGTGTACAGCCGGTAAACACAAAGAAGAAGAAACTCTCACGAGAAAATGAAATAAAATACCCAGGATTATATGGAGGAGATTTAGAGATTATAAATATGGTATGCAACAGAACACACACAAAACAGACCTAACAACATATGATAAAGAGAATTAGAGATTACAAATAAGGGAGAATATCAAAGAAGCTGCAACAGAACACACACAAATAGACCTAACAGCATAGGATAAAGAGAATTAGAGATTACAAATAAGGGAGAATATCAAAGAAGCTGCAACAGAACACACACAAACAGACCTAACAACATAGGATAAAGAGAATTAGAGATTACAAATAAGGGAGAATATCAAAGAAGCTGCAACAGAACACACACAAATAGACCTAACAACATAGGATAAAGAGAATTAGAGATTACAAATAAGGGAGAATATCAAGGAAGCTGCAAGAATTGTCAGTTGCAAAAACAAACATGAGACCTAACAACATATGATAAAGAGAATGAACAATCAAACATGTAGCAGGTCATGAAGGAGATGGCAAAAGTTGATGGAGGTTTGTGGTGTGAATCCTCCGAGGGCCCAGGCACCAATGCCAGATGAGGGGCAGAAGAACATCTATATAAGTATGGGTTTGACTGACCTTCGTCCCAGGCCCGCATGACCTCAATGATCAACTGCTGATGCTGCTTCTGGCAGACGCCTGTCAGCATGGAATCCAGCACCTCACCCGTGTAGGGGGAAACAAACTGCTCCAGCAGTTTCACATTCTGAGGGGAAAACATCAGACATAGACACATTCTGTGGGGAAAACATCAGGAATAGACATATTCTGTGGGGGAAACATCAGACATAGACATATTCTGTGGGGGAAAACAACACACATAGACACATTCTATGGGGAAAACATCACACATAGACTCATTCTGTGGGGAAAACATCAGACATAGACACATTCTGTGGGGAAACATCAGACATAGACACATTCTGTGGGTTAACATCACACATAGACACATTCTGTGGGGAAAACATCACACATAGACACATTCTGTGGGGAAAACATCACACATAGACACATTATGTGGGGAAAACATCACACATAGACACATTCTGTGGGGAAAACATCACACATAGACACATTCTGTGGGGAAAACATCACACATAGACACATTCTGTGGGGAAAACATCACACATAGACATATTCTGTGGGGAAACAGACAGACAGACATATTCTGTTGGGAAAACATCAGACAGACATATTCTGTTGGGAAAACATCAGACATAGACACATTCTGTTGGGAAAACATCAGACATAGACACATTCTGTTGGAAAAACATCAGACATAGACATTCTGTGGGGAAAACATCAGACATAGACACATTCTGTTGGGAAAACATCAGACATAGACACATTCTGTGGGGAAAACATCAGACATAGACACACTCTGTGGGGAAAACATGACACAATCTGTTGGGGGAAAACATCAGATACAAACTCCCCAAACATCTCCACCAACAATTCTACCAACACCTAATATACTCCCCAAACATCTCCACCAACAATTCTACCAACACCTAATATACTCCCCAAACATCTCCACCAACAATTCTACCAACACCTAATATACTCCCCAAACATCTCCACCAACAATTCTACCAACACCTAATATACTCCCCAAACATCTCCACCAACAATTCTACCAACACCTAATATACTCCCCAAACATCTCCACCAACAATTCTACCAACACCTAATATACTCCCCAAACATCTCCACCCACACCTAATATACTCCCCAAACATCTCCACCATCAATTCTACCAACAATATACTCCCCAAACATCTCCCCTAGCAACATTTAATGTTATCTCCCAACATTTTTACCAACACTTGGTAAATCTCCCAACACTTGGTCTATATCTCCCAACACTTGGTCTATATCTCCCAACACTTGGTCTATATCTCCCAACACTTGGTCTATATCTCCCAACACTTGGTCTATATCTCCCAACACTTGGTCTATATCTCCCAACACTTGGTCTATATCTCCCAACACTTGGTCTATATCTCCCAACACTTGGTCTATTTCTTCAACACTTGGTCTATATCTCCCAACACTTGATCTATATCTCCCAACACTTGGTCTATATCTCCCAACACTTGGTCTATATCTCCCAACACTTGGTCTATATCTCCCAACACTTGGTCTATATCTCCCAACACTTGGTCTATCTCCCAACACTTGGCCTGTCTCCCAACACTTGGCCTATCTCCAAACACTTGGTCTATCTCCCAACAATTCTATCACTTAGTCTATTTCCCAACACTTAGTCTATCTAACAACACTTAGGTGGCACCCAACCTATCAGCCTAACTGACCAACAAAACTGGAGACAAACATCTGACTCACCTGGAAATTTAACACCAGATACTCATCTCTACAGATGGGACATGGGCTGGCCGTGCTCAGTTGCCCCTTTCTCTGAGAAACAACACAATCAGATACAAGATAATCAAACATAACACAATCAGAAATAAACCCTGTGTGGGTTCCAGGGCCCTATTATAGGGAAAACAAAAATAGACCCATTGCCTACCCAAAAACTTGTAAGAGTCGACTAACTAGGAGCTTCTTTCGAAGTCGGAGTGCATCTGCCTGAAAGGCAAGGAACCAGCAGTCTGCATACAAATGAGTCAGATCTATAAAACGGATGCACACGCAACATTCAGGTTCTGGAACAGGACTGCAGTCCAAAAGTGGATAAACAACTAGAACTTTCTGCCAGAGTTTACAGCTGGTGAACGCAAAGAAGAAGAAGATACAATACAATCAGAAACAAGATAATCAGTTACAACACAATCAGAAACAAGATAATCAGTTACAACACAATCAGAAACAAGATAATCAGTTACAACACAATCAGAAACAAGATAATCAGTTACAACACAATCAGAAACAAGATAATCAGTTACAACACAATCAGAAACAAGATAATCAGTTACAACACAATCAGAAACAAGATAATCAGTTACAACACAATCAGAAACAAGATAATCAGTTACAACACAATCAGAAACAAGATAATCAGTTACAACACAATCAGAAACAAGATAATCAGTTACAACACAATCAGAAATAAGATAATCAGTTACAACACAATCAGAAACAAGATAATCAGTTACAACACAATCAGAAACAAGATAATCAGATACAACACAATCAGAAACAAGATAATCAGTTACAACACAATCAGTTACAACACAATCAGAAACAAGGCAATCAGTAATTAAATTTAAAAAATAAACATTTAAAAAAAAAACAAATAAGGTTATAATTAGGTAGAGAATTGTTATCTCCTGGAGTGGCCGCATGTTGCAGCATTATTATGCACCCGTTACAAAGTATTACATAACATCTATTTGCTATAAACGACATATTTTTTCAATTACAATTTATTTCTTCTTCACATTCACAGGCTGTAAACTCCGACAGAAAGTTCTGGTTGCTTGTTCACCTCTGGACTTCAGTTTTGTGTCAGAACCTGAGAGTTATGTGCGCATCCATTTAACATCTGACATAACTGTGTGCATATTGTTGGTTCCTTGGCACACATGCAGATGTACTCTTGACTTTAAAGGAAGTCCCCAGTTAGTTGACTCTTATGACATGCTTAGTGGGGAGACAGTGGGTCTACTCTGGGGCCTCGGAACCCACTCAAGGAAAAATTACAGTCAGGACATATCTTCTTTAGCGATGGATGACTGTTACGATCTATTCCAGCATGGATCAAAAACAGTCCTGACTGTTTCTCCATAGTCTGTCTTGTGTGGTCACTCTTGTGTGCCAGACTTACAGTCTGTCTTGTGTGGTCACTCTTGTGTGCCAGACTTACAGTCTGTCTTGTGTGGTCACTCTTGTGTGCCAGACTTACAGTCTGTCTTGTGTGGTCAATCTTGTGTGCCAGACTTACAGTCTGTCTTGTGTGGTCACTCTTGTGTGGTCACTCTTGTGTGCCAGACTTACAGTCTGTATTGTGTGGTCACTCTTGTGTGCCAGACTTACAGTCTGTCTTGTGTGGTCACTCTTGTGTGCCAGACTTACAGTCTGTATTGTGTGGTCACTCTTGTGGGCCAGACTTACAGTGTCTTGTGTGGTCACTCTTGTGTGCCAGACTTACAGTGTCTTGTGTGGTCACTCTTGTGTGCCAGACTTACAGTCTGTATTGTGTGGTCACTCTTGTGTGCCAGACTTACAGTCTGTCTTGTGTGGTCACTCTTGTGTGCCAGACTTAGTCTGTATTGTGTGGTCACTCTTGTGGGCCAGACTTACAGTGTCTTGTGTGGTCACTCTTGTGTGCCAGACTTACAGTGTCTTGTGTGGTCACTCTTGTGTGCCAGACTTACAGTCTGTCTTGTGTGGTCACTCTTGTGTGCCAGACTTACAGTCTTGTGTGCTCACTCTTGTGTGCCAGACTTACAGTCTGTATTGTGTGGTCACTCTTGTGGGCCAGACTTACAGTCTGTCTTGTGTGGTCACTCTTGTGTGCTCACTCTTGTGTGCCAGACTTACAGTCTGTATTGTGTGGTCACTCTTGTGTGCCAGACTTACAGTGTCTTGTGTGGTCACTCTTGTGTGCCAGACTTACAGTCTGTCTTGTGTGGTCACTCTTGTGTGCCAGACTTACAGTCTTGTGTGCTCACTCTTGTGTGCCAGACTTACAGTCTGTATTGTGTGGTCACTCTTGTGTGCCAGACTTACAGTGTCTTGTGTGGTCACTCTTGTGTGCCAGACTTACAGTCTGTCTTGTGTGGTCACTCTTGTGTGCCAGACTTACAGTCTTGTGTGCTCACTCTTGTGTGCCAGACTTACAGTCTGTATTGTGTGCTCACTCTTGTGTGCCAGACTTACAGTCTGTATTGTGTGGTCACTCTTGTGTGCCAGACTTACAGTCTGTATTGTGTGGTCACTCTTGTGTGGTCAATCTTGTGTGCCAGACTTACAGTCTGTATTGTGTGGTCACTCTTGTGTGCCAGACTTACAGTCTGTATTGTGTGCTCACTCTTGTGGGCCAGACTTACAGTCTGTCTTGTGTGGTCACTCTTGTGGGCCAGACTTACAGTCTGTCTTGTGTGGTCACTCTTGTGGGCCAGACTTACAGTCTGTCTTGTGTGGTCACTCTTGTGGGCCAGACTTACAGTCTGTATTGTGTGGTCACTCTTGTGGGCCAGACTTACAGTCTGTATTGTGTGATCTGCAACTACAAAAACTACAATAATATTCCAGGGAACAATGCAAAACTATATAAACTAATGAGTTACAAACAGCCAAATGTGGTAAATCAAGTGGACTCAGACATCAAGAGACAACAACAACGAGACATTTACAACATCGACATGAAGAGACAACAACAACGAGACATTTACAACATCGACATGAAGAGACAACAACAATGAGACATTTACAACATCGACATGAAGAGACAACAACAACGAGACATTTACAACAATGACATGAAGAGACAACAACAACGAGACATTTACAACAACGACATGAAGAGACAACAACGAGACATTTACAACATCGACATGAAGAGACAACAACAACAAGACATTTACAACATCGACATGAAGAGACAACAACAACGAGACATTTACAACATCGACATGAAGAGACAACAACAATGAGACATTTACAACATCGACATGAAGAGACAACAACAACGAGACATTTACAACATCAGCTTACAATGCATGTTCTTCTTGTTGGTGGTGGCTTCCCCCCTTTAAAGTTTCTCCTGTAGTAAAACCACACAGGCTTGCCTCGGTAACCTAGCGCAAACGCTGGCAGACAACAACACAATAAATAATGAGGTTAAATATTCAAGCAGATTTCTTTAGCTGTCAGTGAAAAGAAAGGACCAAAACAAAACAATAAATCTTGAAAACAGGGGCAGCAATCATTCATTCTTCTTCCTCTGTTACAGCAATTATATTGAAATAAAAGTCCTAGAAATTGTGAAGGAGACACAGACAAGGAAATGGTTGCCTATTTGACTGTGAAGGTCTCTGACGCTGTACCCTACAAAAGTGGGTATCCCAGCATTCGCTGCACCCGTAGAAGACTGGCATGCAAGTAAACAAGATCCCACTGAGAGAAGCTCTTTCAGGAGGGTGGTCTTTTTAAATATATTCAGGTCGAGATTAATAGATGACCAGGTGTTACCAGACACAGACAGGGGAGATCATCTGTATGTGGCCAGGTGTTACCAGACACCGACAGGGGAGATCATCTGCTGGTGGCCGGGTGTTACCAGACACCGACAGAGGAGATCATCTGTATGTGGTCAGGTGTTACCAGACACTGACAGGGGAGATCATCTGTATGTGGCCAGGTGTTACCAGACACTGACAGGGGAGATCATCTGTATGTGGCCAGGTGTTACCAGACACCGACAGGGGAGATCATCTGTATGTGGCCAGGTGTTACCAGACACTGACAGAGGAGATCATCTGTATGTGGCCAGGTGTTACCAGACACCGACAGGGGAGATCATCTGTATGTGGCTGAGTGTTACCAGACACTGACAGAAGAGATCATCTGTATGTGGCCAGGTGTTACCAGACAAAGACAGAGGAGATCATCTGCAGGTGGCTAGTGTTTTCAGGCACTGGAAGATCATCTGTAGGTGGCCAGGTGTTTTCAGGCACTGGCAGATCATCTGTAGGTGGCCAGGTGTTACCAGACACTGGGAGATCATCTGTAGGTGGCCAGTGTTTTCAGGCCTGCAACCTTCCAATGCAGCCTATCAGGGAAGCAGAGAACAGACTTACAATCTACCAGTCATATGGTCAGTGGTGATTACAGAAGTTTGTATGTGCTATGTGTATCAACTTTATGCTATCAATGCCAGACATGTAGAGTGGTAGAAAAACTTAAATGAAAAACTGAAACATGTGAGATGAGATGTATAAGAAATCTGCTGGGGAAAAACAAGAAGAGACCAGAGAACTAACAGCAACAGAAGCCCCAGTATTCGTGAATGGTTCACAGAACATCAAAGAATCGAATGGTTTGGCCATCTGGTCAGAACGGAATGAAAGCTAACGACCAGAGCGTACTACATGACAACAGTAGGCTACAAGAGGTCAACCAAGAAAGGTTGGATGGAGAGAATAAAAAATGCACTACAGAAAAGCAATTTGACATTAACACAAGCTCTGCAATAGCAAGATAGGAAACTATATATAACTTCTCACTGCGATGCTTAATGGCACAAGTAGTAGGACAACAGAGAAAAGACATTAGCTGGCTACTTCAGCCGACATCTGGTCAAAATGGACGCTGCGCAGGGGGACTGTTTCGAGCCTAGGCAAATTTGTTGCTTCTGCCAGACGGTGGCCGATGTATTTTTGCTCCATTTGTAGACTGGATATAGTTTCGTCGCTCAGCTTCTGAGCTGATTGCATGGTGTGACACTGTGAGCTGCGGATTTCATTTGGAATGTTTTTTCGACTTGACCAACGTGGTGGTGTGAATTGTAGATTCAGAAAATGGTGCAATGCCTATTGCCGCAATGTTGGTGGTGCCCGTATGTGATTAAAATTGATCGCGTGGGCAGCTGCTGATCTGTTGGTGACTTCTGCTACCATCAATGATGAACTGCATTTCTAATGTTGGACTGTTTGTGTTAGCACTTTGGATGGCTACCATATGCGTTAATGCGAGTGTATGCTAGATATGCTGAGACAGCAGTCTGTCAATCTTTCCACAAGGGACTGTGATAAACATTCTGTGTGTTTTTCGTTGGCACAGGAGCGGAGCGAAGATGGGGTGACTCGTTTGCTATGAAGCTGAAACTAAGACTACCAGACCAGACTACCCGTTAGAAAACCTTATTCCTCACATCTCAGGCAGACACACTCGGATTTCAAAGGAAACACCCTTAACAAGTCAACTCTGACGAACAAGCTTGCTATGTGCAAGAGGCGGAGCCCTAGAACTTGACTGAGATATGACACCAGTGATATCATCTTACCTTCACTGTCCAAATATTTCATGCTTGTTTCAGGACTCACAACCTTTCTTCTTGAATCTTTCTCTGCTTCACCGGCTTCACCGCCTGCTTCTGCCTCTTCTACTGCTTCGGCTTCCTTTTCTGTCCCCAGCATCCGTGTCACATTCAGATTTCTCTTCTGCAGCAGCTGAAATTTTCATCAACAGAAAATCCCTCAGTGGATGTGTCCAATGTATTTTCCAGTCACCCATGCGGACAAATATTTCTTCTTCTTCTTCTTAGCGTTCACCAGCTGTGAACTCTGGCGGAAGGTTCTGGTTGCACGTCCACTACTGAACTGCAGTCCTGCTCCAGAACCTGAGTGTTGCGTGTGCATCAGTTTTACAGATCTCATTCTCTTGAATACAGACTGTTGGTTACTTGCCTCTCAGGCAGATGCACTCCAACTTCAAAGGAAGCTCCCCAATTAGTCGACTCTTACGACACGTTTTTGGGGAGGCAGTGGGTCTATTCATGTTTTCCCCACAATGGGGCCCCGGAACCCACACAGGAGGGGGTTGGGGGACAAATTTTTAAAAAGACAAATATTTTTTTTAAATGTCCCATAAGAATTAACTAACAATTGTTTCATCCGTTCTCAGACCGCAATTTTTGCATACCCATTTTTCAACAAACAAACAACATTTCACTCAAAAACTGAGATCACAAATTACTGCAAAAACATTTTTATTAAATACCAACCACTGTATATTACTGCTTGATTGTTCGGACAAAGTTTTACTCGTCCTGGTGACATAAATATACTGTCAGCCGCCATAAATAAAATTTTAAAATACATTTTCCTTTTGACTGGAAAAAAAAAAAGGGGAGTGGGGGGGGAGTCACCCTCCATTATAACATCACGCAATGTCACTTCTGGTGATTGATCAGCATTTTCAAGACGATTCACCAGCACTCGTATTTTTAAAAAAACTTGTATCCAATGTTAACTGGGTTTTTCCGAGTTTCCAAATAAATCCTCATAATTACCTGATAAAGTGATTATCTATAATGATGTTTGGGTGCTATTTCTCTACGAAAACCTTAATTTTTACCGAAGTGAACACCCATTCCTTAGTTTCAGCAGCGGGAACCGGCCAATCATCTTTTTCATCTGATGAAATGTCTGTTATTGCTTCAGCTTCCTTTTCAAAAAGTTCTTGTGTTGTCTGATTTTTTCTAAAATCCTCCTCACCGGCAATGTCAGAGGAGGGACAAATATTGACCCCCCCCCCCCCCCCCCCCCCCCCCACCCCCCCCCCCCCCCACCAAAAGGACGAATTTAAAAATGACTAATATTGGTGTGGACAAAACTAGTACTGTACTATCTTCTACCAAGGACATTTTGTAATTTTTTTTTTACTGAATGGTAGAATATGACTCTCATGCAGGAGAGTTGGGTTCAATCCTTAGTAATTGATAGAGATTTTTCCCCAATGGGGACAAAATATGAATGCAAACCTTCAGCTTGTGGTGCTAGGACAAGTTGTGTGGCCTGACATCCTCAGGCTAACTACGTCCATCACCGAAACCACCAAGTGCTACAGATACAGGCCATGGAGACAGCAAGTGCTACAGATACAGGCAATGGAGACAGCAAGTGCTACAGATACAGGCCATGGAGACACCAAGTGCTACAGATACAGGCCATGGAGACAGCAAGTGCTACAGATACAGGCAATGGAGACAGCAAGTGCTACAGATACAGGCCTTGGCTACAGACATGGAGACAGCAAGTGCTACAGATACAGGCCATGGAGACAGCAAGTGCTACAGATACAGGCCATGGAGACAGCAAGTGCTACAGATACATACAGGCCATGGAGACAGCAAGTGCTACAGATACAGGCCAATGGAGACAGCAAGTGCTACAGATACAGGCAATGGAGACAGCAAGTGCTACAGATACAGGCCATGGAAGACACCAAGTGATACAGATACAGTGCCATGCCAAGACAGCAAGTGCTACAGATACAGGCCATGGAGACAGCAAGTGCTACAGATACAGGCCATGGAGACAGCAAGTGCTACAGATACAGGCCATGGAGATACAGGCCATGGAGAGACAGCAAGTGCTACAGATACAGGCCATGGAGACAGCAAGTGCTACAGATACAGGCAATGGAGACAGCAAGTGCTACAGATACAGGCCATGGAGACAGCAAGTGCTACAGATACAGGCCAGAAGACACCAAGTGCTACAGATACAGGCCATGGAAGACAGCAAGTGCTACAGATACAGGCCATGGAGACAGTGCAAGATACAGGCTACAGATACAGGCCATGGAGACACCAAGTGCTACAGATACAGGCCATGGAGACAGCAAGTGCTACAGATACAGGCCATGGAGACAGCAAGTGCTACAGATACAGGCCATGGAGACAGCAAGTGCTACAGATACAGGCCATGGAGACAGCAAGTGCTACAGATACAGGCCATGGAGACAGCAAGTGCTACAGATACAGGCCATGGAGACAGCAAGTGCTACAGATACAGGCCATGGAGACAGCAAGTGCTACAGATACAGGCCATGGAGACACAAGTGCTACAGATACAGGCTGAAGACACCAAGTGCTACAGATACAGGCCATGAAGACAGCAAGTGCTACAGATACAGGCCATGAAGACAGCAAGTGCTGCAGTGCTACAGATACAGGCCATGGAGACAGCAAGTGCTACAGATACAGGCCATGAAGACAGCAAGTGCTACAGATACAGGCCATGGAGACAGCAAGTGCTACAGATACAGGCCATGGAGACAGCAAGTGCTACAGATACAGGCCATGGAGACAGCAAGTGCTACAGATACAGGCCATGGAGACAGCAAGTGCTACAGATACAGGCAATGGAGACAGCAAGTGCTACAGATACAGGCAATGGAGACAGCAAGTGCTACAGATACAGGCCATGCTACAGAGACAGGCAAGTGCTACTACAGATACAGGCCATGGAGACAGCAAGTGCTACAGATACAGGCCATGGAGACAGCAAGTGCTACAGATACAGGCCATGGAGACAGCAAGTGCTACAGATACAGATACAGGCCATGGAGACAGCAAGTGCTACAGATACAGGCCATGGAGACAGCAAGTGCTACAGATACAGGCCATGGAGACAGCAAGTGCTACATACAGGCCATGGAGACAGCAAGTGCTACAGATACAGGCCATGGAGACAGCAAGTGCTACAGATACAGGCCATGGAGACAGCAAGTGCTACAGATACAGGCAATGGAGACAGCAAGTGCTACAGATACAGGCCATGGAGACAGCAAGTGCTACAGATACAGGCCATGGAGACACCAAGTGCTACAGATACAGGCCATGGAGACAGCAAGTGCTACAGATACAGGCCATGGAGACAGCAAGTGCTACAGATACAGGCCATGGAGACACCAAGTGCTACAGATACAGGCCATGGAGACAGCAAGTGCTACAGATACAGGCCATGGAGACAGCAAGTGCTACAGATACAGGCCATGGAGACAGCAAGTGCTACAGATACAGGCCATGGAGACAGCAAGTGCTACAGATACAGGCCATGGAGACAGCAAGTGCTACAGATACAGGCCATGGAGACAGCAAGTGCTACAGATACAGGCCATGGAGACAGCAAGTGCTACAGATACAGGCCATGGAGATACAGCAAGTGCTACAGATACAGGCCATGGAGACAGCAAGTGCTACAGATACAGGCAATGGAGACAGCAAGTGCTACAGATACAGGCCATGGAGACAGCAAGTGCTACAGATACAGGCCATGGAGACAGCAAGTGCTACAGATACAGGCCAATGGAGACAGCAAGTGCTACAGATACAGGCCATGGAGACAGCAAGTGCTACAGATACAGGCCATGGAGACAGCAAGTGCTACAGATACAGGCCATGGAGACAGCAAGTGCTACAGATACAGGCCATGGAGACAGCAAGTGCTACAGATACAGGCCATGGAGACAGCAAGTGCTACAGATACAGGCCATGGAGACAGCAAGTGCTACAGATACAGGCCATGGAGACAGCAAGTGCTACAGATACAGGCAGAATGGAGACAGCAAGTGCTACAGATACAGGCCATGGAGACAGCAAGTGCTACAGATACAGGCCATGGAGACAGCAAGTGCTACAGATACAGGCCATGGAGACAGCAAGTGCTACAGATACAGGCAATGGAGACAGCAAGTGCTACAGATACAGGCCATGGAGACACCAAGTGCTACAGATACAGGCCATGGAGACAGCAAGTGCTACAGATACAGGCCATGGAGACAGCAAGTGCTACAGATACAGGCCATGGAGACACCAAGTGCTACAGATACATGGGCCATGCTACAGATACAGGATGGAGACAGCAAGTGCTACAGATACAGGCAATGGAGACACCAAGTGCTACAGATACAGGCCATGGAGACACCAAGTGCTACAGATACAGGCAATGGAGACACCAAGTGCTACAGATACAGGCCATGGAGACAGCAAGTGCTACAGATACAGGCCATGGAGACACCAAGTGCTACAGATACAGGCTACAGATACAGGCCATGGAGACAGCAAGTGCTACAGATACAGGCCATGGAGACAGCAAGTGCTACAGATACAGGCCATGGAGACACCAAGTGCTACAGATACAGGCCATGGAGACAGCAAGTGCTACAGATACAGGCAATGGAGACAGCAAGTGCTACAGATACAGGCCATGGAGACAGCAAGTGCTACAGATACAGGCCATGGAGACACCAAGTGCTACAGATACAGGCCATGGAGACAGCAAGTGCTACAGATACAGGCAATGGAGACACCAAGTGCTACAGATACAGGCCATGGAGACACCAAGTGCTACAGATACAGGCCATGGAGACAGCAAGGCTACAGATGGAGACACCAAGTGCTACAGATACAGGCCATGGAGACAAGTGCTACAGTGCTACAAGTGATACAGGCAGGCCATGGAGACACCAAGTGCTACAGATACAGGCCATGGAGACAGCAAGTGCTACAGATACAGGCCATGGAGACACCAGTGCTACACCATGGAGACAGCAAGTGCTACAGATACAGGCCATGGAGACACCAAGTGCTACAGATACAGGCCATGGAGACAGCAAGTGCTACAGATACAGGCCATGGAGACACCAAGTGCTACAGATACAG